GACTGGATCTACTCAACATTTATTATTATTTCTTAGCTAACAGGCTGCAATATATACCAAGATGGTTGCAAGATAACCCACTAGATGAGTCTTGGTTGGACATAGAACAGACACTTTGCAATACGATAGAGCTTTGAGACTTACCATTTATTAGCTCAAGCATAAGAAAACAAGAAGGCTTCAAAAGTATTAGTATCAGCACCTCTCTGACAGCAGGAGTATCTTAAAATGACAGAGTCTTCACTAGTACCATGCAGATGCACAGCTATCTGGAATAATCCTGATATTTTGCAAAATAAAATGATTAACCTTCCGGACTGGAAAAATAAAGAAATCCTATACCTGGAACACATATATGAAGGATTGGACTTCATCCCATTTAATAGTCTCCCAATTTGGAATAGATAAGAATAGCTTTTTAGAATACCACCAAATTAAATCTGTAGTCAAACAAAAATTTAAGCTCAATAAAATAGAATTACAAACACCGCCAAGGGTATTAGACTTCTATAATCTCAAACCCCCCAAACTACTGTCTAAAGTATATAAGACACTGTCCAAAATAGACAATAGAATAGCAATCCCTATTGTAAAATGGGAGGTGGATCTATCAGTCAGCTTTGACCAGAACTTCTGGTCCCAAACTTGTTTAAAAACTTTTAAAATGATCAGACACTCCAATTTACAATTAATTCAGTACAAAATCCTACACAGAGTACACTATACAGGTCATCGGATGTTCAAGATGGGGTTTGTGTCATCTGACACCTGTACACACTGCACAAACAACATTCCTGACAATTACATTCATGCACTGTGGTCTTTTCCACCTGTCCAGGAATTTTGGGGTAGAGTATGTGAAGACCTGTCAAAGTCTCTGAAATGGCATATCCCAACCACCCCCTCTCTTTGTTTACTGGGAAACCTGGATGATGTCCCGACTGAAACATCTTTGGTTCATGTGGTTCTGACTGCCATATGCATCGCTAAGAAAACTATCCTCTTGAATTGGAAAAATAGAGAAACTCTCTGCATTAATCAGTATAGAAATATTTTGTTAGATCATATTACACTTGATTTGGCCTCTGCTTCCACTTCAGATCAATCTCTCTGGGCTCCTTTGATCGGTTCCATCACATGGTGATGATGGGGGACCATTGATGTTGTCCTGTGGGATGATGTGGGGGGGGGGGGGGGGGTGTCTGAGTTTGGAGTATCCGGATGTTCCCTGGAGGTGGGTTCACTGGGGGTGTCTGGGCCTGGGGGGCCGTTGCCCCCCTCTGGAGGTGCTTGGGTTGCCTTGGGGGGTGGACTACTGGCGGTTGTGAGTGGGGGCCCTTGGAGGTCTTGGCGGCGGCCATGGGTCACTGCCTGGCAGCTGCATTGCCCCTGGGCGGGTCTGGGTGGGGGCCTGGGAGCTCGGGGTGTGGGGGTGGCCGGCCCCATGTGGGGATCTGGGCGGGGCCTTGGAGGTCGTGTCCTGACATGTATGCAGCCAGTAAGAAGGCAGGAACATGCAGCAGTACCTGGCCCAGGTTCAGGGGCCTCGGGTAGACCTTGGCTCCTCTGCTGTCCCATCACAGGGGAGGGGGAGGTCCAGGAGGGGGAGGACCCAACCTTACCTGGATGTCCTATGTCTTATATATTCTGGAAGTTGTGCAAATGCAGGGATGGGCATAGATATTCTGCTGAGGTGGGGCGGGGTTGGTGCCCTCGGACTTCGTGAGGCTCTGTAATGCTGCTGCTTTGGGTCCTGGCAGGATGGGCTGGGGTCTCCATGCCCTGGGTGGCAATTTGACAACAGAGGTGCCTATTGGAGCCAGTGGGGGAGCTGGCTCCCTGGAGGGCTAAGCCCAACCAGCCATTCCTCCCCATCCCCGCATATTTCTTTCCTCCTGCTCCCTCACATCATCACACAAACATGCACATAGGACCTTGGGGGGTGGACGAGTCAGGGTGTGCGGGTATGGACCCCATTTCCACATTGCTGTGGCAACCTGCCCCCCAATTTTATTTGCACCTTAAACACTTCCACTGACGACATTCCACGCAAAGACACACTTAGGGCCTTGGGAGTTAGCACATCCAACGACACTTGGCAGGGGGATTTCTCAGCCTCATCCCAAGTGCCGGTGCCCACTTCCAATTTTAAACTGCACTTAGACACTGAGAGCTGTGGGTGCAAGTGGGGTGGGGTGGTGGCATCAGCTGGCATAGGCCAGACAATGCCCGCACTGCCCGCTCACCACAACCATGGAATACACCTCATCAACACGCACTAACACCATATTGGAGCAGGTGGAGGGAGGTTAGGGGTCTTAGCACACCTCTGTTATCGCTTGGCTTCCTGGGGCTGGAGGCTAGGAGGGAGATCCGGCCGTCTGGTTGGGGTCTGGGGTGGTGGGTTGCTGTGCTCAGCGTTGGGCGGGGGAGCCTGCTCATCAGCACCCCAGCAGAAAGGGTCGAACTCTGGGAACCAGTAATGGCTGTACCCCATGTGCAGCAGTACCGGGACCAGAGTGAATAGGTTGTGTATGGGGAGCATGAGTGGGTGTCCGGCATGCATTTTTGTAAGTCTTTGGTTGTATGTGTTTGTGTGAGCGTGAGGGAGGGAGTGTGTGACTGTGTTTGTGTATGACTGTATATGTCAGGTGGGGCATTTGAGTCCTCCCTTCTCCTGGGACTTCTTTTGATGATATAGATCTTTGTCTACCCTCTCCCTGCCACACCTGGTGTGGAGTGTGGTGCCTTGGTCTGCCTGGGTCGTGGCTCCCGGGTCAGGGAGTTTAAGGTTTTTGGCATCTGCCTGACCAATCCCGGTGGCTGCCTGGTGGGGTCTGGGTCCCTGGGCTCTGCTGGGTCCCCGGCGGGGGTGGTCGCCCCTGGTTGAGCACGCACCACTGGTTTTGTCCTGCACTCGCTTCATCCCGCCCTTCTTGCTCTTCATGTTGATACTCGTTTTGTGAAACATGGTCAGTGATGTCCTCATTAATGTTTCACTCTGGTTCAAATTAAAAAGGCTGAACAGATGACATGTTGATGTCGCTGAACAGTACCTACAGCAGTGGTCCGCAAATAGCGGCCCGCGGGCCACGTCCGGCCCACGAGCCCTCTCTTTGTGGCCCCCAAACCCCGTGCGCACCCCCCACTTCCACCTCCGACGGCCGACCGGGAGGTGTAGGATAGATAGAGCTGAGGAAAATAATCAAATAATCAATGCATGAGATGCGGGCATAAACGATTTTGCATCATAGATGAGTACCATAATCAATTATAGTGGAATGTAGTTTTGTTATTTTAACGGCGGCACCAGCGCAGCATCCAAATCTGTCAGAGCGGTGTTCTCCACATTTACCGGGTAGGAAACTTTGGTCTTCCTTTATGTGGTGCTGCAGGGCTGAGCTCTGGAGTTATAACCGGAGACCGAACCCGAATCGAATCAGCCCAACCGGTTCTGTTGGATTTGGGCTGTAAATTATGTTAATTGAGCGGGTTGTCGTGTGGCGCGCTCCGCTCGCTCGATCAGCGACTGAGAGAGAGAGAGAGAGAGATTGTGTGTTCACACAAGAGAGAGGATCGGAGGACGCTCCTCCAAACACGCGTTATTTTCATAATTTCATTATTGTTTCTCCTGGAAGCGCTTAGTCAGACCGAGTGCTGTGATGTCGGGAGGTCTGGTCTTGGGGAGGGGGCGTGGTGAGTGACGGTGGCTGCAGCGTAATCATCTGTCTCTTTTATTCAGGGACACGGAGAAGTTAAAAGGAGATAGAAATAGAAGATAGACGTTCTTGTTCCACTTTATTATTTTGTTTCATGATGATAAACTGATGTTAAATTCAGCTTAAAGAGAAACTGGGAGGAAGCTGTGGTTCATTTTAAGTTACAGGAGGCCTTGTCTCCTATCCGCTCCTCTAGAGACAGCATGGACACGAGGGTTACATGGTGAGGGTCCCACAGGACAGGTTAGTGCAGTCACACAGCCGAGCTGGAGGGGTACAGGTGTTGTCCTGCTTTATATAGCAAGCTTGTGTGTTATGTTCATTACAGCCAGCAATCCAAACAGCAGCAGCCCCCCCCCACACCCACCCACCCCCCGCCCACCCCCCATCCCCTCTCCAGCGCTCTTGCTTCTGGGTCTTTTTGGTGTGTGGCCCTTGGACCATTATAATTGAGGACCCCTGCCCCACAGGGTCCCAAAGCCGGCCGGTGCAGCCAAGGTACAACCATATGACGTCACTACCCAGAGTGCAGTGTGACGCTAACAACAATGGCGACCTACAAGTTAAACAATTTTTAACAAAGTGTATAAAAATGAAGACATCAAGAAGGTTTTTACACCATTTTAATATAAATGATAATAACATTTATCTTTTAAGAACCACAACGTTTTGTAACCCGAGTTCCTTTTAAGAGTTGCTCTTGGACCCCTTAACTCGTGGACAGTATTGCATTTAAAACCCCACTTGATTCTAATAGTTTTACTTTTTTGAATAAAAGCTTTTGATGCATTTTGCCAGAATAGGAAATGGTTATTAAAGACATGAGAGGCACCAAGTTAGACTGAAAAGGTTAACTAACATACCTGCAGGTCGTTATAGCGATAAAGGAGGCCTGTCTGCAGCTCTACAGGAGCGTTGTCTTGTGTTGAGGTAATGCTGGAAGTGCTGCAGCGTTTGGAGATGAACTGTATCTGCTGATGTGTCAGCTTATCACTAGATTGTGTGTTTTTGATGCATTTCTGTTTTTCTTCTAGAACGTGAGAAACACTACACCCCACTGATAGACCAAACATCTCGTGGAGATGCTGTCGAACTGAGTTTTTATCTGTTAGTGGAACGTTTATAGCTGGGTGTGATTGGATAACATTTAGCATGACTGTGCATTTCTATGTACTGTGTGATGCACAGTAGCGGCTTCTGCCTTTTTTCATCCCTTATCGTTTTTAGATCTTTTTGAAAAATCTTGCGCAGTTTTTAATGACATTTTCTTTTGTTTTCCAGCGTCCTTCTCCCAGTATAGGTATGAGGATAGTGGAGCATCTACAATCACCCGTCCCAGCTCCTCAGGCTCTGGAGAGACCTACACCCCCACTGGGACCCCTGACTTTACCTTTCCCCTCAATCGCACCACCACCAGCAAAAGCACCTGTAATTATGCTGCAACCAAAGCAGGTAAAGGTCCCTGAAAACTGGACACGTGTGTTCAGAATGCTTAGAGCTGTAGTTTAAACTGTTTGTGCTGCAGACTCGTTGCTCTTCAACAAGATTGACGAGAGACAGAGGTTGGCCCGCGAGCGCAGGGAGGAGCGTGAGAAACAAAACGGTGAGCATTCTTTCATCTGGTCTGGTCGACTCGCTGTGGAGCTGATGCCTTACTGAGCTATAAGCGAGTCCCTCGCTTTTTTTTCTGTTTGTTTTATTGCTTTGGACACATTGTAGGTGAAATTAGTTGGTAGCTGTGGTGAAGTGGCCGTTTCCTTGGATGTTACATAAAGTCCAGGCCAAAGCCGGGCACCCTGTTGCCATGGAGTTCATCTTACATAATGGTGGCAGGTTTTAGGAGAAGCTGGTGTTTAGGGTGTGTTTTTTGTTTAACACTAGAGGGGTTTTGTATTTTGGTGTGTTAATGCTGATCATAATATACAATTGGTTTAATTCCATGTAAAGGAGATCCGGGATTTGCTAAAGCAGTGTCACGTGATGTGCCCTTCTCCTGTTGTCGGTACAAGCCTGTGTAAAGTTACTAATGCATGCAAACATCAAGACAACGTGTGTGTGTCAATGTGCATTCTTCAGCCGTCAAGGAGGCACAGTGGCAGGCACGTGAGGAGCGAGCCAGGCAGCACTATGAGAAGCACTTGGAGGAGAGGAGGAAAAAGCTGGAGGAGCAGCGAGTGAAGGAGGATAAACGACGAGCTGCTGTGGAGGAGAAACGACGGCAAAAACTGGAGGAGGACCGGGTACTTTCAGTTCACTGGTTAAATAAAAGTCTGATCATAATACTAAACTGTAACTGTGTGTTGGTGTAAGAAGCCTCTATGATTAGATTGACTCAGCTTGTCAGGAATTATTTCATAAATGCAGCTTATGTTGAACTGATGTGGTCGGATCAAGCTTTAGTTCCTCTGCCAGAGCAGGTCCCTCCTTTGGTTTGTAACTAATGGTTTTCTGCCTGTTGGTGTGTCTGAAGGTGCGTCACGAGGCGGTGATCCGCCGCACGCTGGAGAAGAGCCAGAAAACCAAACCGAAGCCAAACCGCTGGTCTTGGGGTGGAGCACTGCACACAAACACTCCCAGCACAACAGCCGGTATGCCAACACACCTTAGCTACACAAACACGCTAAGGTGTCCCAGAGACATCTCACAGGGTTGTTCCCCACATTTCATCATTAGAAGTGTTATGTTGGATTATTTTACATAATTTTGCCTTTTACTCACACCTCTCTTCACCTCATTCTCTTCTCTTGTTCTCTCATTCTTACAATCGTGGCTCTTTTTCTCCTTCTCCCCCCGGCCTCTGCTCTTTTCTTCTCAAACCTCTTGGTCCAGGTTTTGTTGAGTCTGATTTCCTCTATCCACTCGACCTTGCTGGACTGGAGCACATGCAGAGTGCTTTCAGTCTCTACCACAGACACGGAATGACGTCTCAATGTGAATATTACATTTAGCTAGAGCGCTAGCAGTAGCTTAGCAACCTACAGCATTGTCTTAGCTCAGACTGTAGGTGTAAACTGAGTGGCATGGTTAGCATTAACCTATATTAGCATGTAGCTGCCTATTGTTTTATTACAGGGCATGCACAGTCATTTCAGTTTTACATGGCCAAAAAACCCATTTACTACTAATTTATTAGCATTTCTTTGTTAGCTTAGCTTTTTATATTTAGCCTGAATTAGCCAACATGGCGCTAGCTCCAGTTCTGTTTCCGACACTGATGTCAGAAGATGACTGCCATTTTCTATCCCATATTTTATCCTAGATGCAGACAGGAGGTCGGTGTCGACAGTAAATTTATCCAAACGTGCAGACCCCGTCATTACCAAGCGCCTTTCCTCCTCCTCTGCAACTCTCCTAAACTCACCAGATAGAGGTAAAGACATGAACACACATGTGATGGTTTGCCTTTAGTGTGACTCCTGTTTAAATGTGATTCTGTTGACATGTTAACAGTCATCATCTTACCTGCTGTTTTTGACGGCTTTGAAATCCTTTAGTTCTGAACAGATGGATGAACTAATGACTACATATTCAAATCTCCCAAAATTAATCTATATTTCTGTAAACTGAGGTTGTTCAGAGCCCCACTTTAAAATATTCCTTTAAAACTTTGTTTTATTTATTCTGTAAGCTTCAGTTCAGAGTAAAAATTAGTTAAGCTCTTTCCTCTCTGAGGATTTGTCATTTCCTGTGACCGGTAATAAGAAGCTGCAGCCAGCAGGTAGGATCAGCTAATGGAAATGGGGATGCTGTCTAATAATAATAATAATAATTAAAGCTGCAAGCAGCGTCATTCGGCCCTCGCAGCTCTGCGCCACTCCACACCGCTCCGGCCTGGCCGGCAGCCCAGGGCACCCGGTCACGTCCACAGAACATAAACGTCGACCACCCCGACACCAGAAACCGCGAACGGTCTCCTTGTCCGCACCTCACCCTGACTCAGCAACCCCTCTGAGCCCACCGTTAAATTACATGTCTCACTACTAGGGCATACTCTATCTTTACCACACTGGTGGTGTGATGACACAGACCAACTTTAATGCTTTTCTGACCATGTTTTTTTGAAGTTATTGAAGGTTAAATTTATAGATAAATTTAACCTTCAATAACTTCAAAAAATGCTGTGGGGCACTGTGACCAACCACAGAAAAATCCCATTGAGGTCAGCTTTGGTTGACAAAGATGGTTTTCTGTTATTTTGGCATCAATCAGACGTTGTGTGTGCTTTCTAGAGCCAGTGAGCTGAAAGGGGCGGAGCTACAGGGATTTGAACCAACAACCACATAAATGTGTTTGGTGCAGTCACGTTATGTCACAAGCCAAGTATAATGCCATTCTGACCTTGTCTTTAGAAGTTAATAAAGTTTGAACCTATCTAGGGGGCACTGTGACCATTTACAACTAAGTCCCATATAGGTCATCAAAGATGGTTTTCTGTTAATTTAGCATCAATCAAACGTTGCATGGCTCATCTAGAGATAAAAAGCTGTAAGTGGGCGGAGTTAAAGTGATTTGAATGAGTGAGCACATACATGTGTTGATTGCAGTTGTGTGATGACTCCCACCAAGTTTGATATAGTTTGGAGCTTTTTTGTAGAAGTTACAAAGGTTTTATTGTATCTAGGGGGTGCTGTCCCAAATTTAGGAAAATATCCCATGGAGCAGTTTGTAGGTTGACAACAATCATTTGTGTGTAGTTTGGTGTGAATTGTATTATACATGTATTATTCAGGGCCTAATATCTGTCAGGGGGTGGAGCTAAAGCGATATCAACCAATGACCACAGGATTGTGTTGGGTGCCTTTGTGTGATGACACTTAGCAAGTTTGGTGCAGCTGTGACCTCGTCTCTAGGAGTTATTACAGTTTTAAAGGTGTGTAGGGGGAGCTGTGGTGATATTATACAACATTCACCAACCGTTTGTGCCTCGTTGGCTAAAGGGCATGATTGTTGATTGCCTTGTCCAGTCTCGTGCAGATCGGAGGCTGTTTGTGGAAGTTACAATAAAATGTAAGGTCATGGCGTCACGCCAGAATTCGCCATGGCATCAAAGCCCCTCCCTTTTTGGAAAGCTATCAGAACTGAATGGTCATTATAGCATCATGAAGACAGTGCATGACCTTAGTGTCATGTTGACTAAATTAGAGGAGACAAATATGAGCATTTGACCATAAAACAATAGACTTCCTGTTGTCAGGGGCGGGGCTTAGGTGATGTCAGCTGTCCACATTGTCATTGTCTTCAGATGTGGTCAGTGATCACACAAAGTTTGATATAGATCTGATCATGCACAAGGAAGTTAAGTCAAGTAATGGAATGGCAAAAGGTCAAAGTTTGAGGCTTAGCCACGCCCACACCTTTCAACTTTTGAAAAATCCGATGGTTAACTTTTTTCCCCTATGTCTTAAGAGTATATAGCAGAAGTTAGAAGGCAATCAGTGAAAAGGACGACTGGGCATCGTTCTCCAAACTACGTGAGTGAAAACCACTAAATCGAGTACTTGGACCAAAATGGCCGACTTCCTGTGCGACTTTACGCTTGGCTCCAAGAGACTTTTTTGTAGGTCCTGAGACACTACATTAGTGAACCAAATTTCGTAATCCTCAGTCAAAGCATGGCTTGGGGCTGACAGTTTTAATGGCTCTAGGGGGCGCTATTTCAGAATATAGGCCACACCCACAAACTTCAGTTGTCTATTTCTATTGGGGGTCAGAGTAGGATCACTCACCAGACGTTTCGTGGCGATATCATGATAACTGAAGAAGTGAGAGGCAAACGTATTTCCATGGCGTGATGGTGATTTTCGCCATGCTCCCAAAGCTCCGCCTTTTTTCGAAACCTGCCAGTACTGGAGACCAAGTGACCTCAAGTTGTCTACTGCTATTTGCCAGAGATTCCTGGTGATTGGGTAAAAGCAGTCCAATAGGGAGCTGTGAAAATGAGTGGTGTGGCTACAGGTCAAAGTTTGAGGCTTAGCCACGCCCACACCTTTCAACTTTTGAAAAATCCGACGGTTGAATTTCCCCCCCTATGTCTTAGGAGTATATAGCAGAAGTTTGAAGGCAATCGGTGAAAAGGGCGACGGGGCATCATTCTCCAAACAATGTGTGCGAAAACCACTAAATCGAGTACTTGGACCAAAATGGCTAAAAATCGCCATGTCAACCCAAAATGGGTTCCTTCCTGTTTGATATTGACCATGGTTGCAAGAGACTTTTCTGTGCGGACTGTTGAGTACTACAAGTGTACCAAATTTCATAACTGTACAATAAACTAAGCTTTATGAAGAGGGTTTTTTTTCACTCTCTAGGGGGTGCTGTTCAGCCATTTTCTTTGCGATTTTTTTGGAACCTTTAAAATATCAAATTTTTCACCAGGCCTGACACGTTTGCAAAATATTGTGAGTTTTGGGGTATTTTAAGGTCCCCAGAAAGCTGTTCAAAGCGGGCTAAGAATAACAAGAAATAAACAGAGCAAAAACAAGAGGCCTTCGCAGCGCTTTTGCTACTCGGGCCTAATAATGTTTTATTTGGGCAGAAGAGCCACTGTTTTCCTCTTTATGCTCAGATGAGCTCATTTCCTTTTTTGAATGCTAACTGTTAGCTTATGTGTTGTTTGATGTTGCTGACAGGCTTACAGATGAGAACAGTCTCCACTCCTATCATAAACAAAGCTCTGTCCAAACCCCGCCTCCATCAGGGGAAGACCACGCAGCAGAAAAACACAGGTTTCCCATGGGGGGGGGGGGGTGCACTTTTGTTCTGTCACACTCGATGTTTACAAGCTAAAAGATGGTGGGCTGGAAACTACTATAAATATGACCTCCTGATTATTAAGGTCCTGCTACAGAATATGAGGACAGATTAGGTTTACAGTATTTACTGTTAATGTGGATGTTTACACTTTATCCGTGGGATTGGGATTCCCCACTTTCATCGTAACCCCTTTCTCTAATCCGCTGTAGGATTATCCTGTTTGTTTTATTTATTTATTTTTTTGTGGGACCACAGTGTCCTGTTCCTGAAAGGGAAAAGTGGCTACCACCGTTAAAAACAAATTAAACCCTTTTATCTTTAGAAAAATGTTGCTGAAACAAAATTGGTTACAGAAATGTTAATAAACGTTATCAAAATCATTTGTGTAGTTTTCAGCCCACTCTTCTCTTCTCTTTTGACTGCACATCTGCACTCTAACCCAGCGCTGCCAAGCTGCATGTTTTACATCATATTTTATTCTGAGCCCCAGTTGGGTTATCGCGATGATGAATTCATTCATTATCAGTCAATTCAGACCAGCTATTTAGTTCTGTTGCGTTTTCCTGAGATGATCACAAGTTACGGTGAAATAATTAATAAGGTAGGATATTTATCTGAGATGCAGGTGCAGTATGACCTTTGTCATTTATTGCTCTCCTTTCTGCATGTTCCCTTTATGTTTGCACACTAATTCAGGGTGTTTACTTCTCATAACAACCAGCCTGGTGCATGTGGGTGTGTGCGTGTGGGCGGGGTGGTTAAACTCCACTGCTCAGTCAGAGCGAAGGGATGGCTGAAGGCTTATCTGCTTTGATTCCTGGGGCTGTTTAAAGTCTGAGCGCTTATCGAACCTCAGCTGTTACCTGCGTCTTTGTTCAGGGCTGCGCCGCCTTCCGTTGACGTCATGGGAGAGCAGCATGGTGAACCGCCTGCAGCAGCCAACACATTCTTATTTGGCCCGCAGTCGCAGCGCCATGAGCCTGTCTGGAGAGCAAACAGGTAACACACACCTCGTTAAACCCCTCCTTGTTTGCTCACTCACAGAGTTTAGTTATAGTTGGTAGAAAGTCACTGAGTTCCTCACGAATCACCACTTCCTGTGTTAGGAGCATTTATATCAGTTTCGTGTGAGCCTCTGGATCAGAGCACCTTCAGATGGTTGATAAGACTTAGCCGGATTTAAAACTGTCTGAAACTTCCTTAACAGCCTGTATCAGACACACACATACACATGCACGCACACCAATGCACACACACACGCTGTTACGTCCTCTATTGGTAGATAAGGAGAAAGACAGGGAGTAACACAGAGGCATGTGTTTCAGGTGTTAAAATTATAAACAATTATTTTATTTAAAGGATTTAAAATGGCAGAAAGCTCAAAATCTAAAAGTACTTAAAACAGTGTTAAAATGGCAAAGGGTTTATGTTTAAAACAGACATCCGAATCCTCCCAAACATTCACAATCAAAGTCCACTGGCTTACACACAAGTTTGGGATCCAAGAGGAAACCAGCACTCTGGTCCCTCATCTGTTAAAAACCTCTAAAAGCTCTTAAGCTTCACCAAGCTTAAAACAACTAAAACCCATTTAAAAGCCATTAAAACACAAACAAATGGAGCACATGAGAGAACTGACACAGATCCAGTCTCTCCCTTCCTCCTGGCAGCTCTGCCTTTTATGCTTCTCAGGAGGTGATCAGAACCAAGTGAGTGCAGCTGTGCAGGTAGGAGGAGGAGGAGGCAATGCACTGACTGTCCTCTGCAGAGTCTGCTTTCTGGGATAAAACAGCAACAGCTGTAACATGCACACACACACACCTACACATGCACGCACACACAGAGCACCTTATTGCTTGTTTCTTGTGCATCCAGGGGCTGTAGGGCAGTCATTTGTGCTGTTTCTACTGAAATAACCGAGTAAAGCAAAATTTAGAGCAGCGGAAACAATTTTTTTAAACATTTTCTCGAGCTGCTCTGGAAACTGGAGACGTTTTGAGATGACAACAATACACTCGAATCATTGTAGTTTAATTACAATTTGTTATCTCAACAGTCCTCCAGTAAAATGTCATCTCTACTTATTTGAACTGAGGCTGTTTGGAAAGCGATCTAAAACAGGTGAGATGAAGGCAATGGTTAATCAGAGTAACATTTAAGTAGCAAGAAGGTGTTGTGTTGACCCAAGAACAGAGAATTGGTTTTTGTTGCTCAGGAGAAACCAATAAATCCTCTCAGCAGCCAAACAACCCAGATATTCGTTCTGTGACTGGAAAATAAATGGCTGCAGAAAAGCAAACGTCACACTTCCTGAAAACACTAAATGTGTCTGATATCAATGAAAAAGTCACTATTTTCTAGATGTGATGCTGGGCTAGAACTCTTGGCTCTTCTCTCTTCCTCCTGTCGGGTTTGAGCCATCGTCCAGCTCTAGGGCGTTTTACATCATTTAGTGCTCTTGGTTTTAGTGTGTTTGATGTTTTTCCACCAATCAGCAGCACTGACGCTTACTCTCTCTTCTGCTCACCTTTTCCTTTAAACCATCCTAAACCCACGACTCTTTCCTTAAAAATCATCTTAACATCCTGGTCCTTCTCTCCTGGTGTTTTCACTCCTTTCACACCGAATCCCAACATTCTCTCACCATTCTGACCCACACCTCCTTTAAAACCCTTGAACATCACTGTAGCCATGCCTGTGTGTCCTCGCTCAGTGTCCTGCCACCCCATGGGCGCCATGTCCTTCAAAGCCCTGCAGGCCCAGCCACTTCCTCACTGTCGCAGCCAGGAGAGGAGTCTCAGCAGGGAAACGCCATCCTCCACATCCACCACCCCGCGGAGGAAGACCACCGGGTCAATGCAGGTAAGACGTGATGTCATCCATCAGCAAATACTAAAATGAAAAGACCTTTGACCCGGTCAGTCATTGGTTAAAATTTAACCAACCATTTAAATAAAAACAAAGTTTTAACAATGTGTTTGATCATTTTTCTACAGAAGCTAAAAGATCGAGACACTGTCAGGAAGTCTTGGAGCAACTTGTCTCTTCCTCTGAACCCCATCCTGACTTTACCCCCCAGCAAATATGCTGCTCCTCCAACCAAAAAGAGCAGCAAAGGGGCGGCTCCCTCTCCTGGCAGGTACAGGGGACTAGATTTATTCTGGGATCATTTAAAATGAGTCTTTTTAGCAGATTTGTAGATAGTTTTTTGTTTGTTTGTTTTGTTTTTTTGCAGAAAATGATTCTAAAATGAGCTTTACTTGTCTTTGGACAGACCTCCACAGAGGACATCAGGGCGTCCCCCGACTCCCAAGCTGCTCAAGTCTCCAGGAGCGGAAGATGCAGGGAACCTCCGTCCTATTAGGATCACACCTGAGAGCTCCCAACCTTCCACTCCCACCAGAGCTGCAGAGGAAGAAGAGCTGGCTCTCAGTCCTCCTTTACTCAGACCTCAGCCTCTGGGTCAGAATAAACCTCAGAGTGAAGAGACGCCAACGGCAGCTCCTGCAGGAGTCGGCGGTCAGTCCTTTCTACATCCAAATTCATAGATATCATTCAGCTTGGTCAGATTTTAATTTCTGATGCTTTCTAGAAAGTACAAGCAGCCCTCCGGCTTCCAAACCGTCAGCGGGCACCACGGATCCAGAGGAGGCGAGTCGTATCCTGGCTGAGAAGCGAAGGCTGGCCCGGGAGCAGAGGGAGAGGGAAGAAGAGGAGAGGAGGCAGCAGGAGGAGCAGGCGAGGTGTGCAGAAACAAACAGCTCTACAGGTGTTTGTGTAATTGTTTTGATCTTTAGACCATGATTTGTTTGTTTCTACATAGACTGGCCAAGGAGGAGATGGCTCGGCGTAAAGCAGAGGAGAGGATGAGGAGAGAGGAGGAAACTCAACGCCAGGCAGAAGAGAGGAGGGGAAAAGAGGAGGAGGAGAAGGCAGCTGAGGAAGACAGACTTCAAAAGGAGAAGGAGGCAGAAAGGCTTCAAAAACAGGTCAGAAGATAATAGCTTTAGCATGTTTAGAAGTGTTAGCAGAGCTGCTTTGCGCTGCGTTATGGCACCAGAACTTGAGCAGATAAGCAGGACAACAAGAAATGAGACACTGTCCTCATTCCAGCGGATGACTCCACCACTGCTCCTCCATCAAGCGGCAAGCTCATTCATCTGACAGATGGGGGGAGGGTGTGGAGCCTTACACCGCCATTTTATTGTGACGTCAATTCATTCACAAACAACAAACACCTGTGGACACTCAATCCAACACCCCCACTTGTACACAGGTTAAGAAAAGACAAGAAACCTGCATGTATACTGGTACATTTTACATTCCAAACATGAATACAGAGAACTTGTCCAGCTTAAACTTTGTCACTGGTTTTGTCATCGTATCTGCGACCATTGATTCAGCTGAACAAAACTCAAGAAGTGCTCTTCCCTCATGTATTACTGATCGTATAAAATGGTACTTTACATCAATGTGTGTCTTCTTGAACCACCTGTTGCATCAGGATTCTCACACTAGCTAAATAATCAGAAGGTGAAAAAGTCTCCTCATAATCAACTCCTTTTGTCTGACCTTTTGCAATAAATCGAGCTTTGAATCTGTTTGATCCATCGGAGTTCTTTTTAACGTTGTAAACCCATCTACCCCCCACTGCTTTCGTACCCTCTGGTAAAGCGGTTAAAGAAAACGTGTCATTTTCCGCGAGGGATTGAATTTCCTCATTCATTGCTTTTTCCCATTGTTTTGACTCGCTTGACATAATAGCTTCAGACAGTGATGTTGGCGTATCACACAACAGTTTATAACAATAATCCAGATTAGTTGGTGTTTGTTCGCTTTCGCAGTGACATAATCACTTAGTCAGGTCTCTTTCTGACTCTGGATGGGGAACGTTTTGCTCCATCGTCTACAGTTTCCTCAGTTTTAGCTTCAGGATCAGTTTGACGGCTTTCACTCACACCTGGAATGTTCTCATCGTGCAAAGTGATATTTTGTTTTTCTGTCTGTTTGGATTCACTTTGTTTTCTAGATTCAAAGATCTCATCTTCAAAAATGTGGTCACTCTGCGTTTGTTGATCTGTTGTGACTGGATTTAGCATTTTTACCAACCTGTGTCTTTCAACTTTGCCAGGTTCTGGAGAATAGATCAAATATGCAGGACTATTTCGATCACATCCCAGGAAAACACCTTTATCACATCTGGGATCCAGCACTCCTCTGTTTTGCTTATAAGCATAACATAATGAACCGAATTGTTTCATCCTTGAAAGACCTGGTCTTGTCCCCGTCAGCATCATAGAAGGTGCCTGGCCTGTACGTTTATTAAAACATTGATTTCTGATCACTCCCGCTGTTTGTGTGGCATATGGCCATAAAGATTTCGGCAACATGCATCTTGCCATATCAAAGAGCATGCGCCAGTTGCTCTCCGCTGCTCCGTTCTGATGCGGTGAATACGGCGCTGACGTTTCATGTCTAATACCGTTTCTACTTAATAAATCTCAGAACTGCCTGCTTGTAAATTCCGTTCCGTTATCAGAGCGAATGCTGCATTTGATTTTCCCATACGATGCCATATCTGCAGTAAATCTTTCGGTTGCTTGAGTTGTATCGCGTTTCTGTTTCAGATTATATGCAAACGTCATGCCCGAAAAGTCATCAACAAAAGACAAAACAAACTTGAACCCTTCTTTAGCGTTTGGTGTAATCGGACCGGCTAAGTCCGTATGCACCAGCTCTAATGCTGCGCTGGCCTTTTCATCTGCTTCTCGATTTCTAGTTTGTGTAAACTTTCCTTGAATGCACGCTTCACGTTGTAAATCTTTGTTCATTTTACCCGTAATTTTCATCCCATCGACAACATTTAGCAGATTTTGAACATCATCGTTATTACAGTGGCCTAGAATTTCATGCCACGTTTGCATATCAAAACACCCATTACATTCGTCTTCAAACTCTTTCACAGTGTTCATAAAGAACAGTCTCTCTTGTTCATAAATTGGGAGCTTTGTTCCGTCAACATGTTTAAAAACCACCGTGGCTCCATTATTAGTCTCTGCTTTGACTGACAGAATGTCCTGAGGAAATTATGGGATGTACAGTGCTTGTTTCAGCGTTACCTTGTGGCTGCGTCCTCTGCTGTCCAACATACTTATCTTGGCATCTCCTCGCCGTTGCACAGCTCCTCTGCTCCTCCTCCCGTAAGCCAACTCCACGCAGTGAGCCTCTGGTTGAAATGTCTCATCAAAAGTCTTAAAGTCCTCGATCTTAGTGATGATATGCGATGTCGCTCCAGTGTCCACCTGTAGCTGTTTATTCGGCATCTCTGGTTCGTCGTCCCAGATCTTCTGGAGCGTGGAACCGGTCTTGAACACGTAGTCCTTCTCCTTGTCGTCCTCCGCGATTCCTCTTGCTTCATCTCGTTTCGGCCTTCTTCTGCAGGTTGCGCCTTTATTACTGCGGCAATAACTGCACCACACTTTGGATGGGCACATTCTCGCAGTATGCCCCTTCAGTCCACATTTAAAACACACAATCTCTTTGTTCTTTGATCTTCCATCACCTGCTCTCCATGAAGTGGATTCCTGGTCAGGATGCACTTTTGTCCTCATTACGTTGTCATCAGTTACAGCTGTACGCATTCTCTCTGTTTCTTCATAACTTCTAAGTTTTATTTTAAATTCTGGAAATGTGATTTTTGCATCACTCTGGGTAACGTGCACAATAAGGGGTTTAAATGTCTGGCAGAAGTCCGTCGGTCAGTGACTCACCAGCATTTTTTAAGGCAGTGATGGTTGCTTCTGTTCGGATAATATAACCTGTCACACGCTCGTTCCTTCCATTTGTTAGAGAAGACAATTCGGTGTACAAACTTATGATCCGTGGCTTGCCCGCTCCAGCATAATAATCTCTTAAAATCTTCAGTGCTTTCCGACCATCATCAACTGCATCTCTCATGATTGATGAGAAACTCTTGTCATCCAAAAATTGGATCAGCTCTGCATATGCTTCTGCGTTCCTGCCAGCGTCTTACACCGCCATTTTATTGTGACGTCAATTCATTCACAAACAACAAACACCTGTGGACACTCAATCCAACAAGAAGTAAAACCTGAAGTTATCTGGGAGTCTGCTCCTGATCTTCTACATATTTCTGCTTTAGAAGGAGGAGGAGGAGTCCAGATTGAGAGAGGAGGCCGAGCGACTGAGGAAAGAGGAACGAGAGAAGCACTTTCAGAAAGAGGAGGCTGAGCGACTGGAAAGAAAGAAGGTAATGTGTCCCAAAGCCACATTTAACTATCATTATGCATAATGGTTTAGCTATTCTCATTTCCGTTATTTCTGTTTAGCGTCTGGAGGAGATCATGAAGAGAACGAGACGCTCGGACGCATCAGAAAAGGTGGAGCCTAGGGTGTAAACGGATAAAGTAACCTAAACGTGATCTTTTAAAGTAAACTCTTTTTGTTTTAATCTGCAGAAAGTCAGGAACGGAGACCATGCTGGTAACATTATTATAATTTCAGATTGGTCTGTTCTCTAAAATCATTTTCTTATAAAGAGTTTTTCTCTTTTTAATCCTCAGTGACTCCTGCCTCTCCTGCAGCGTCCACCTCCCAGAACAGCAATGGCAGCCGAACGCCCGACCCAAACTCCAGCAGCATGGCGCTGAGCCGCTCGGATCAGAGGTGGAGCTCACACCTGCTCGTTCACGCTTCAGCGTTTGAACTTTGTTTGTTTCTATTCTGTTTTATTTTTACAGCGAGAACGGGGAGTTTGAGGAGGTGATCAAACTACTTCCACATTCCAGGTTGTCTCCTCCTGAAGGGGAGGAGGAGGAGGAAGGTGTCATGGAGAACGGTGTGATGAAGCCTCTGAGTGGAGCGGAAGATATATCAGTCCAGCAGGGAGCGGGTCAGTAAACCTTTAGTGCTCTAAAGCTGTGCAGGAGAGGAAGGGAAGAAGATGCTGCTGGGAGGCAGGAGCCTGGTGCTTGAGCCGCTGGAGCGGAGCGTTGTTTTTACTGGTTTTACTGGTCTTGGACATAAATTGTGGTCTCTGTTCTGTTTTGGTCTGTTCCTCATGTTCTTCTCTTTACTTCACCGCTCGCGTGTTAACGAGGGAGAAAGGGACTGACGGGCTGGCTGTGTCCAGATCCACAGGCTGCGTTCTTCCAACTATGTGTTTGGAGCCGTTCAAGTTTAAAGCATACTCAAAATGCGTCCTCGGGTTCCCTTGAGTCTCAAGGACGTGTCTGATGTATACTCGACAGCCACATGGCGGTATTTTTATTTATATAGCACATTTCAAATGCAGGGACAATTAAACGTGCTTTACAATTAGCATTAAATGGCACAACAACAAACTCTAGAACACAAATTAAAAATATATTCAGATAAAATTATAGTTTGGACCTAAAAGGAAAAGACAGAATTAATGTTGAGCATTTAAATCACAGATTACGATGGGAGACTTTTGTTGTTGTAACAATGGCGGACGAAGCAGGAGGATTAGTTTTTAAATGTGAAAATATCCAGCTGTAAAAAAAACAGAAGACCTAAAGTGGTTTTCCTTTTAGGCTTTTTTTTGGGGGGGGGGGGGGGGGGGGGGTAACAGAACGTTCTCTGAGGGACAAACAAGAATAAATATGAAGGATGGACCGTCCAACTTCACAGGTGTAGCATCATGAAGGTCTTCTGATTTGTGACAAAGGTCACATTTTCCCAGCTGGGTCAGACTGTAACTTTTAGTTCCACAGATTAACCCAGCAGCCCTGATGTCTGCTGAGTAGCACCCCTTATCTGCTGCTGTTCCGTCCCAGAAGAAGGACACTTCAAGTTCACGATAATAACCTAAATAATAATATTAATAAACTCTCTGACTTTATTACTGTTTATTATAATCATCATAAATAATCACTTGGTTCAGTATAAATGTATTTTAATTACTGAAATGAATTATTAAGCTTTGGGTTTAATAATGATTACTATGATTATGGTTGATGATCAGTAATGTGTGTTCAGTAACCAGAAGGTCAGCTTCCACTTATCCATCTAACGGAGTTTATCCAGAGTAAAGGGTAACTGCCATCTCATGTTTTTTGACTCATGACCAAAGCTTTCTTGCTCTGAGAGGGCGTGTTCTGAGGACTTGGTTAAACTAACTTCCAGCAGCTTTCACGCCAGTTCGTGAACCACCACCATCCTGAGGAAGGGAACGGCTGCCCTGATCCTCTGCCAAGCTGTTGTGTCACACCGATGAGAATAGCTACGAATAAACGTAACTGTAATCAGCTGACGCAAAACTCCTCAGAGTTATTGATTTTTGAGTTAAGTTAAGACGAGAAACTCCTTCAGAGTAAGCCAAACGCTCGACACTGTGTACCCGGCGACATCTCTGGACCAGAGGATCGGTTCACTTGCGTCTTCTCTACCGAACCGAGTACCCTGAGGTGGACAACATCCTCCTTGATCTCCAGATCCACAAAGAGGGTCGTCTGTTGGGTGACGTAGACATTCTGACAGATTGTGTTTGATGCTGTTTTCTCTAAGAAAACAACAGTTAGCTGCAAACCATCATTTCCAACCCAGAACGCGTTCCTCTCTCTGAAAGAAACCTTCTGAGAAATCCATTCACACATCCAAACTCGTATTTTCCATTTAGCTTTCATCCAGCCACAGGTTCGCCTTTTAAAACAAGTTTAATATCAAAGCTGTTAAAAATTGTCATTCATGAATTGTCATTATTAATTGTCATTCAAATCGTAAAGTTTAAACTTGTTAGTAATAAATTCTTCATTTTTAAACTTGCCTCATTCTTTGAAATGAAACACAGAAAGGTATAATTATTTCTGGTTATTGAAAAGCAAAGATTCCTAACTTCTGATTCAAAAACAAACATTTGCTATTAAATTTAATTATCTTAAAGTAAACATTAATCTTTGGATTAAAAATAGACCAAACAGGTTGGTGTATGAACTTACATCGATTGTATAAGTATCCTGGATATTTATACATGATGTAAGCTTCATGGATTAATCTGCTTGGTCATTCTCAGAATCTACAACTGATAGCAAACAGTGTTGATTCTAGTATGTAGTCTAACCCTACACAGGTGGTCTAACGGTAAAGGAAGGACCCGACCTACGTGGACCGGGTCATACGGGTCCTTACGGTGTTGGAGCGTGTTTTTGTGACAGGCAGCCCAGAAAAAGGTTCCATTTTTACCTCAGCTTTTCTTTAGAAGTGTTGTTTCCTGCTGTCTGCACAATCTGACTGACTGTTGCACGTACCAGATAATGTAGCACGTTATCTGCCCAAGTATGTACACATTAAAGCCAATACCCTGCATAGGTTATCTCTTTACATTTGGATGGTTTTCTTGCATGTTTGCATGCTTCTTTCATCTATTTTAGACCTAAATCTATGCTTTTGGCTCCGGGATGGGTGGCAAAGTGAGAATTTCATGTGCAGGGAAATGTTTCCTAACAGTTCTGATGACAATAAAGCTTTGAGTCTTGAATCTAAATTCATTTAGTCTGTCCTGTATATTGACAGGAAATGGTTTTACCTTGAAGTTAAAAGTTGAAAAATGTTTAGAAGTCTGGAATTTTGAAATCTGATTTGTATCTGAACTCTGTTTTTATTGAGGAATGGGGTTCAGAGGTCTGATGAAACATTTGCAAAAGTATTATTTATTAAAACTGAGAAATATTTTGCCAACTTTAAATCTAAAATCTGTTTCCCAGAACATGAGTTACATACTGTTTTGACCTTTAACGTTTTACAGCAGCTGAACTGTTTATTTTTGTGTTTTTAGATGTTGTCTGACGTTATTCTGGGACCTGATGATCCCAGACCCACAGAACCTGAAGAGGAGGTTAGATTAGAGAAACGTGGAACTGTAACCACTCCGGTGTTCTCTCATTCTGCAGTCATTTCTCCAGAGATCTCATAAAAAGCCTCCCAGGGAAAGTCTTTTTTCCCTCTGCGCGGTCCGGACGGAGCTCATCAGTCCTGATTCCTGGTGCAGCCTCTGTCCTCCTCTAAAATCACAGGACGCTGAACTCTTATCCCACGTGACGTGAGATTATGAAGAAAACCCTTTAACTAATGTAAACAGAGATGAAGGCTCCAGCTGTAACACTTGAAGAGTTCTTGTTGCTGTAGACGTGCTTTAATCAGACCTCCATCATCAGCTAAACACACACAAGAGGCTCAAAATGATGACAGCACATCTCACTAACTACTTGAGTTTTGCTGCGTCTGCAGTGTTTAGGTAACTGAGTATTAGACTTTAGGTTTAATGATGAAATCAAATCATTGATGTAAATTTCTGATTTTTCTTTAGTTTTATTTAATTTCTGTACAGATGTTGAATCTCTGTTGCCTACAGCCTGTACTTGTTCAGATTTAGCAAAAACAAAATGTTTTGGGATTAGAGCCATTTACCTTCTTACTGTTTAACCTGCTGCAGCCTCGCATGCAATTTCGCCATCCTGTCAAACTGTTGAGATTAATAAATTATGATTAATTTGATCTCTTTGATAAAAACAGATGCCGTCAATTCAATGTCCGGTTGCCTTACTGCACTGCTGCTCGTTCCTGACACGAGCTTGTAGCTTTAATATTAAGTTATGTTACTGATCTCAACACGAGTCATGTTAGTTCCTCATGGAGCTTGAAGTAAAACACTGGAACTCGTCAGTTTTACTTCCATCTAAATGAAATAAACTTTAATGTTTTGTGCTGCAGGTTTGTGTAAGTAGTGCAGAAAACACCATTTAACACTTGATCTTCTAAATACAAAGTTTATTTTTCCTCACACCCCTTTCCTTCATAGGAGAAGGGCTAGGAAGAGTTGTGTATTACTGAATTCTCTGTACAGTTCTATTACTTGGCAAGAAAATAAAACTTTGAATTGAGATTCCCAAAAATTCACTTTGGAATGATTTCCTCCCACACGAACAGCACTGGTACATTTATTGTAGCAGAACCCAAAACAACTACGACAGGAAAGCAGAAAATCGGAATACTAGAATATTTACGTGTGAAAAAGATGTAAAAGAAACATTTAAAATGGATAAAACAAGTGGAAAGAGAAATCTTGAGTGTTGAAATCTCACTTCAAGCCAACAGTCATAGCATGTCAGTAATCTGTTAATAAGATGCGGTTACTGAAGACTCGTAAAGTCCACTTCAGTAACCCACCGACTCTGACTTGGTCCCAGTGCTCCACAGCATCCCAGCTTCACCAGTAGAAGGTTTTAGTGAGGAAACTGGCAGCCGTGTTGAGCCAGCTTCCGTTGGAGTCTTCCTTGGCTGCAGTGCGGGAAACGGCTCGGTCCGCCTCCCTCTCTGGGCTTTCCTCATCCTCTGGGAGGTAATCTGGAAGAGCTGAGTTTTGCTGCACCTGCACTCCGATCGAGTTCAGCTGGACGTAGACCTGAGCACAAACAAGTTTTAGAAGCTTAGTGGGAACTTGTGCCGAGTGCCTTTTCTAAACCAAAAGAAAGGTCACTCACCTCCTCTCCTGCCTCATTTTTCAACACCTGCTGAGCCGACAGCACCTTAGTGGCAGCGATGGCTGATGCCAAAGTCTGCAAAAGTTAAGTCAAAAAGGCAGGTTTTTCTTTATCAGTTTGAACGGACAAACTTCTTGGATTTTGATCACCAAACGGACATAAAACGTGTTTTGTTTTTTACCTCGGTGGGAAGGTCTGAACGGACGCGGACCGTGCATCTCTTGGAAGCCATTTGAAACGTGAAGCTGATCACTCCTTTGACTTTCAAAAGAGCCTCCTCGCATAAGCTTCGCTGGTGCTTGGTAACAGAAAAGAAAACTTGGAGTAAATTTAAACAGCTTGTAAGGATAAAAGAGTGTTTCCATCAGCTAGTCAGCTTACAGTGGTCTCCAGCCCCTGGATGTGTAGTGTCACAGATTTGGCCTTCTTGTTGGAGGAATTGATGAAGAACTGGGACTTCTTTCGTCTCTGCCTCTCGGGCGTGCAGGGTGCAGGAATTGTGGGCGAAAGCAGAATGCCGTAAACCTCCTTTGCCAAGGCTGTGATGTCAACAGATGGGCCCTCCCTGTATGAAGGCATAATCAGTCTGAATGTCAATAGTTAGAAATTGCCTCCCTTCAAAAGTCTGTCCTCACATTTCTTTGTGTACAGTGTAACACTGGAATGTGAGTGAAGCAACAAATATTCATCAAAAATATTCAAAGATCTTTTAAAAGCATAAAATGTTTCATTTTAAAACTTCATGAGAAAGTCAGGCTGCTTGGAGGCAAAGTTTCAACTAGGAGTCTGCTTACAGTTCTGTCTCATGGTAAAATATTCATCCAACCACTTCTAATCTCACCTTTGGATAAGATTTTCCAGGCTCACCATCATACCCAGTTCATTCTTCATGATGGGAATATTGAGAGGCATTTCAGCCAAATAACGAAGGGTCTGAGGACAAAATACACCAGTTTTAACACTAAACATGAGTAGATCCAGCACCTGTCTGTCTTCCTACCTGCAGAGTCGCAAACAGAACTTCTGGATTCTTGTGATCCAGGAATAAAACCAGCCCAGGAAGGCAGCCCTGGTCCTGAACTATCACCTCCCGGTTCTGCGACTCAGAAGCCAGATCCCGCAGCTGACACACCACCGACAAAGCATCCATCATCCTTAAACCCACCGGACCTTAAACGGGAAGACACAAACATCGGTTATTTCTGACGTGAGGAAATAAATAGACCAAAATATGCAATGGTACATAAATATAAATATTACTGTTTAACACAAACATGTTAAGTACTCATATTAAGGACAGATATAGCTAATAAAAGCTTCCGCTATGTTGTGGCTAGCAGCTAATGAAGCTAACCGACGTTTTTTGACTTCGTGTTGCACTAAATTCAAAATAAACTTTATTCATTCACACACAACTGTTCACACTAAACACATAAAATACATAATGCTATATCACATCCCTGATAGTAAAATGTATGTATCTGAAAATCATTTTGGGATGTTTCCTTACCAAAAGAAGTAGCTCGTGCACAAAAATACAAATTTGGTGCAATCCTTCACCCTGGCACCTCATTGGTCGTCAAACGTCTGGTGACGCGTTTAGATCAGCCTCTGCTATTGGCTAATCGTTGTTCTTCTGTTTTCACAGCCAATCAGAAACGTTTTTGCTGCTGCAGCTTTATTTGAGTTCACAGCTCGAACGCACGAGGAAAAAGGAAGTTTTGCAGCTCTAAAAACAGTGTTTTACTTTTCCAGAGAGTATTCAGGAGACGTTTACACACTGAGGCGTATTTTGTTTTATAAGGAGTCGAATTAAAGGTGAGCGCATATTGTTTCTAGTTACCTGTCTTCTCCATGGCTGCAGGTAAGTTAGTTTTGATGATCCGAGCAACTATTTGTCCGCATTGCTCAAGCAGGTCATTTGGTTGTGTGTTTTATAGCCAAGTCAATGTTAGATGGATGACCCATATCCGTTATGAGCTATATTATTGTTACTGGGTGACGATTGCTCACTAATAATGTTGTTTTGGGTGAATTGTCAGTGCTTTTTTAAAGGTGACGTCATTTGGTAACGCTGGATTAATATAGTTAATATTTCTAAATAATAAATATGCACCTGCAGACAAGTTCATGTTAGATTATGCTTTAAAAGAATGAAATGCATTTTAAAACTAAAATTGGTTGATTTTCAGGAATTTGTGCTTATTTTTGTTATGCTGTTATGTAGGGCTGCAACAAACGATTATTTGGATAATCGATTAATCGGATGGGGTCTCGACACGATTAATCGATTAATCGGATTACATAGGGACATTTTTAAAAACTGCTAGGGAAACGTTATTTTTCTCCTTCCTTCACTTTATTAAACACACCATTATTAGAAAACAGTTCAATAGCAGAAAAACAACATGCCATCACCTAAATTGTCTTATAAGGTGTATAGACAGAGACCCTAAGCTACACCTATCTGTGACCTAAAATGCTTGGTCCAAGTTAAACAGCTTAAAGAGCAAGTCACCCCCAAATAAACTTTTTTTTGCTGATAAACTAAATAAACGAGTGTCTAATCGTGCTGCAGACACGTGTCGTCAATAATTTGGCACTTCAGTGCATCTTAGTTAAAATTTAAATATTCTGCCTAAAACTGGCAGTGTTGTGCCGTTGTCAGGTAAAAACTCTGCACTGTATTTTAATTTAAATCTGCCACCGCTATTGGCTAAGAGGTATGCTATGATGTCATCTGGTACATTATGATGTCACAATGCTGTTGTGAGCCTATGTGTGTGTATTTGTTAGCAGCTCCGCCCTCTCGATCTGCCTGGCAACAGCATTTGTTGCATTTTTCAAACATGAAGTGGGAGTGGCGTTAGAATCTGGTAGGGGTTGACTTGCTCTTTAAAGAGCAAGTCACCCCCAGATCACATTTTTTTTTTGCTGATAAACTATATAAAGGAGTGTCTAATCATGCTACAGACACGTGTAGTCAATAATTTGGCAGTTCAGTGCATCTTGGTTAAAATTCAAATATTCTGCCTAAAACGGTCAGTGTTGCGCCGTCGTCAGGGAAAAATTCTGCACTGTATTTGAATTTAAATCTGCCACCGCTATTGGCTAAGAGGTATGCTATGATGTCATCTGGTATATTATGATGTCATAATGCCATTGTGAGCCTGTGTGTGTGTATTTGTTAGCGGCTCCGCCCTCTCGGTCTGCCAAGCAACAGCATTTGTTGCATTTTTCAAACATGAAGTGGGAGTGAAGTAAGTTTCTTGTAGGGGTTGACTTGCTCTTTAAAGAGCAAGTCAACCCCTACCAGAGTCTAACTCCACTCCCGCTTCATGTTTGAAAAATGCAACACATGCTGTTGCCTGGCAGACCGAGAGGGCGGAGCCACTAACAAATACACACACACTCAGGCTCACGACAGCATTGTGACATCATAATGTACCAGTTTACATCATAGCATACTTCTTAGCCAATAGCGGTGGCAGATTTAAATTCAAATACAGTGCAGAATTTTTCCCTGACGACGGCACAACACTGCCAGTTTGAGGCAGAATATTTAAATTTTAACTAAGATGCACTGAAGTGCCAAATTATTGACGACACGTGTCTGCAGCACGATTAGACACTCGTTTATTTAGTTTATCAGCAAAAAAAGTTTATTTGGGGGTGACTTGCTCTTTAAGGGCAATTCTCATCTGTTTTGTTTGATCTCATCTGTAGACATTTATTATAATTGGGGATGTCAAACAACTAATTTTTAAATGTAATTAAACATAGGCTGTGAATTAATCAAAATTAATCACAATTTCCAAAAATGACTGAAACAATACCAAATAAAACAAAAATAAATGAATGCCATCCTCCTTGCGATGATGCCCTGGGCAACTGCCATAAAGTCACATCAAGAAATGTTGCTGATCATTCCAATGATCCCAAATAGACTCACATTAGGCCACATGAAAGCAACTGAACCCAAAAATATATTAACCAGTATATAACTGCACTCTCACACAACACGCCTGCAGCAACAGTTAGGACTCCTCCCTCCCTTTTAAAAGCGTTTTTGCTTCTGAGAACATTGTGGTTGTAAAGCCACATGTCAGTAGTCTGGCCCCGGTGTAATCAACCAGTTTCTGCGGAAATGTGACGGCGGAACCGGTTCGCAGCGGCGCGAGTCCCCCCCCCCCCCCCCCCCCCTCCCGCCTATCTAATAGCGTCGCGATTACAATTTTAAAGACTTTTTTAACGAGCTTAGGGCATGTCTAGCCTGTGTAATAATCCGGGGCTTGGGTGAATCACTTTTGAAAAGTTTTTAACTTACCCGGACACCGAGCTCTCTTCTTCCTCGCTGATGATTCTGACATGCTTGCGTTTAAGACGCTGCATCATCACCGTAGTATCCCTGTGCCATGCTAAGTCTGACCTACAAACGTTGCATGTCTTCGCCTGATTTAACTAAAAATGCTCCCAAACTTTAGAAGTTTTTACTTTTTTGGGGTCTCGCTGCTTCTGCCATGTTCCTCTTGCAAACACCTGCCGGCTCTCCACCGGTCTGCGCGCAACGGCGGGCGGGAGGGGAGGGGGCTTTTGGAAGAGTTGCGCAACACAACGAATCGATGACGCAATTCGTTGCCAACGCTTTTAGTAATCGATTTTCATCGAATTTATCGATTCGTTGTTGCAGCCCTACTGTTATGTTATTTTTGTTTTGTCGTTTAAGGTGAGAAGTATGTGATTTCTGGCCTCTCACCAAGTCAGTCAGCAGAAACAGAAGCTTTGCAGCCGTCAGGTTATGCGGGGAAAGTCCTTGCAATGTCTTTCGTTGAGGATGTTTTGGATGGGCTGTGCATGGTCCTGGAGTATTTTGGAGTACCTCCAGACATGGTAAACACAATAAAAAGCTTTTTCTTCTCTTTTTTTAGTCTGCAATATAAGGATGGTGATTATTGTTTTTAAATGCCAAGATGATTAGATCTTCTAGTTTTTTATGATTGCAAAAGTGAATATTTCCATATATGTTTGTAATTCTACTGATTTTTGTGTTTTGTGTTGGCTCCAGCTGGTTCCTGTGTGGGACAGTCAGCTGTGTGGTCAGTATCGCAGCATCGTGAGGATGATTGGAACAAGTCTTCCTCTGGAGCCGGCTCCACGGGTTCATTTTCAGGTGATGTAAAACCATTTTCAGAGGCTCCATATACATTTAGAGGGTTTTCTTTAGCAGATTGTGTCATCTGTGCCACTGGTCTGCCTTCAGATCCCTCTAATGACATACAGACCACATGGATGTAGTGATGTCACAGTGGACACACCAACAGTGCCCTCATTTGCTGACGTCTTGTGGGTGTTTGACGATGAGGGGGAGAAGTTTGCCAAAACTAGGTAAAACCACATTTAATTATGACACAAATACATAAAACAAATTATACTTTAAGTATATTCAATATATGATATTTAAAGCTAAAATGGCAAATTTGGAAAACAAATTAGCTTAAAACATCTTTTTCATGCCTCACCATCTTTCAAACAGTATAGCTGTTAATATATTGTGGAGATATAAAAAAAAAACATAGTTATTGAAGAGGTTCTCTCGGAGAGACAACTATTGGACCATCCGGTTGTCCGTCTCACCGAATCCCCGCACTCCTCTGGGTTCTCCTTTCTTTACACTAGGGCTGCAACAAACCATTATTTGGATAATCGATGAATCGGATGGGGTCTCGACACGATTAATCGGATTACATGGGGAAATTTTTAAAAACTGCTAGGGAAACGTTATTTCTCTCCTTCCTTCACTTTATTTAACACAACATTATTAGAAAACAGTTCAATAGCAGAAAAACAACATGCCATCACCTAAATTGTCTTATAAGGTGTATAAACAGAGACCCTAAGCTACACCTATCTGTGACCTAAAATGCTTGGTCCAAGTTAAACAGCTTAAGGGCAATTCTCATCTGTTTTGTTTGAGCTAATCTGTTGACATTTATTATAACTGGGGATGTCAAACAACAATTTTTTAAATGTAATTAAACATTGGCTGTGAATTAATCAAAATTGATCACTATTTCCAAAAAAGACTGAAAAAATACCACATAAAACAAAAGTAAATGAATGCCATCCTCCTTGTGATGATGCCCTGGGCAACTGCCATAAAGTCACATCAAGAAATGCTGCTGATCATTCCAATGATCCCAAATAGACTCACATTAGGCCACATGAAAGCAACTGAACCCAAAAATATATTAACCAGTATATAACTGCACTCTCACACAACACGCCTGCAGCAACAGTTAGGACTCCTCCCTCCCTTTTAAAAGCGTTTTTGCTTCCGAGGACATTGTGGTTGTAAAGCCACATGCTAGTAGTCTGGCCCCGGTGTGATCAACCAGTTTCTGCGGGAATGTGACGGCGGAACCAGGGCCAGATTAACTCTTTGGCTGTGTCCGAATCCACGGGTAGGATGCTTGTGAGTGCGCATTTTGAGGTCGATGACGTCAAAGCGCAGCGACGAGTACTGTCCGAATTCCAAGAATCCTCATTCTCGCGTCCTCAAACGCGTCCTCGCTCCACCCACATTTCGAGGATGGGTCTGATGGATCCTCACAGGAGCAAGGGTATCCCAGCATGCTTTGCACGCCGGCCGCTGGACTCGACACTCGCAACAACGGCGGACGGAGCAGGACAGCAGTACAGCTTAAAATGTAAGTTAGTTAAAAAAATAGCGGTCAAAAAATAAAATACGTGTTTGGGCACTTTTGGTTTGTGTTTTATATAAGATCTAATACCGCAAATTGTTTTTTTTTTTTTTCATGTAATTTAAGGCTAAAACATGCCCCACCGAAAACCAGCTTGAATGTTTAATAGGAAAAAACCCACCGTAAACTAGCTTGATCCCAGCAGGCTTTTAAAAAAAAAATAGCGGTAGAAAACTAAGCTGAAAGCCTTTCTGTTTATAGACATTTGTCGTTTGTATAAGTACATTTTAAGCAGAAATCAGCGAGAACGAGCTTGTATGGTGGTCCCGTCATAATTCCCGTGTGTGTGTGTTTATTTAGCGAATAAAGCTTCTCATCATTTGTTTTAAGGTTAACACCCCACCGTAAACTTGCTTGAAAGTCTAATAGGGAAAAACTCACCGTAAAAGAGCTTGCATCTTATGTAATCATGTAACGAACGCCAAAAATAACGAAAACTAAGTTTAATGTTTATTTAAGTTCATTTTTAAGAAACCACATTACTGATTAAATCATTTAATGTTTTTAATTTAAATTTAGGCGGAAAAAAAAGACAGAACACAATTTTCATCTCCCATGTTGATAAATTAAAATATTGTTTATTGCATGTTTTATCAACTATGATTTATAATCTGACTTTGTTCTTCTATTCCTCCCTATTCTCATCCAGAACCAGTACCTTTAAGGAGCATCTGTAATTTCATTATGCCCACAGTGTTCTCTGTTGTTAAATGACAATAAAGCCTTGTAATTCTAATTCCCTTTGTCTGTAGGACTGCAAGTATCCAGGGTCAGGAGAGGGAGTCAGCGGAAAGCCCACTGCTGAAACCTGGCCCTGGTTTGTCCCCATGGACGAGGTGTTGGGACAGAGGCCTTCCACTATGCCTCCTGTCCTTATTGCTTCCATTCCCGAGGATACTCCAGGGCCAAGTGCAGCAGTGGGTGAGACAGAGGACAGGGAGAGTGGTGGAAGGAAGCCGTACTCCTCATCAGGGAGAAAAAGGAGAAGGGCTGATTAGCTCCTTGACCTGATCAGGGAGGACATGAGACAACAGAGGGAAGCGGAGGAGAGGAGAGAAAGAAGGATGGACAGATTTTTAGCATTGATGGAAAGGATGGCAGAGAAATGGGTTTTTTTTTTTCTTTTAGTTTCTTCTGGTTCAGGTTCTATATATGTGTTTGAATGTTTTTGTTATTTGTTTAAATGTAATAACATTTCTATTAATTGATAACTCTTTTTTTGATCATTAACAGTTTTATTATTCAGTTTTTAACAAGTAACAACATAGTAAATAAATGGTAAGGGAACACTGTAAGGAATAAAAGTAAAGATAAAAGTAAAATATATACAGTAAACTTGGAAAGCAGGGAGTCTTTGGTGGTGTTGCTAAATCTACTAAACATGGATCATCGAGGTGGATGGAGTGCAGGAACCGAGATCCGTGGCTGAACGTTTCTGGTTGGCAAGTGGAACATCAGACAGAGTGGTCTGCAGAGGGTGCTTCTGGATGCCTCATCTCACTGACCACTGCATCGTCCATCAAAAGGGTTTGCTGGGCTGGCTCAATCGACGGCTGTCACATCACTAACATTCAGATATATGCAAAAAAGGAGATCATGAGTATAATACTTGTAACTCTAGCAGATAACAGGACTAAATGATTTTTAAACTAGAGATTCCTACGTAAATTACTTGCCTGTTAACAGTAATTGTGATCTGGTGGTACTTCCTCCAGAGCAGACACCTCAGCAGAAAGTTGGTCCCGCCAGAGGGCACCACTGACTGCCTCCAAACCAGCCTCCCCCTCATCTTCTGGAGCATCATCCTCCAGTTCATCGTCCTGCACCACAATGTCACCAGCACTGAGGCAGATGTTGTGCAGGATGGTGCATGCTGTGATGACCTGTAATAGAGATAAAAATTTAATTTATATTTCATTCCCAAACAAAGATTACACCCAAAGTTTATTTCCACTTTGTGTTAACTTACATGAGGTACAAAGGTGTGGTGGACCTCCAGCGCTTTCAGGAAGATGGTCCTGAACCTGGTCTTCATCATTCCAAAAGCACGCTCGATGATGCAGCGTGCCCTGGAAAGTTGGCTGTTGAAGCTCTGGGCTCCCACACCTTGAACCACCCGTTTGTAGGGGGTGATGAGGGGGAGTGGATGTTGGAGGCATGGGTACCCTCCATCCGCGAGGATGAAGTGCCCTGGAGGAGGAAAGGCTGACTGCCTGTACAGTGGGCTGTGCCGGAGGACCCTGGAGTCGTGGACCGACCCAGGCCAGCCCACATAGGTGTCGATAAAGCGGCCCTGATGGTCACAAACTGCCTGCAGGATGATAGATGGGAACAGTTTCCTGTTTCTGTAGCACTGACCATCAGGACCGCTCGGAGCCTTGATCCGAATGTGACAGCCGTCGATCGCACCTGCTGCTTTCATGAAAGCTCTGTGTCGAGCCAGCCCAGCAAACCCACGAGACACAACCTCCATCTCCTCTGGGGTTTTGGGGAGGTGAATGACCTGGTGGAGGACTGCGACCACATCCTCCGTGACTCGATGGACGATGTCGTGGACAGTTGAGCGAGGCATCCCAAATACTCTTGAGACCACCCTGTAGGATGTTCAACTTGCCAACCAGAACAGAAACACCAGGGTCTCGATTGTGGCACCCCAACCATGTCGCCGATCTTGGTTCAGGAGATTTAGCAACACCACAAAAGACTCCCTGCTCAGACGAAAATCTGGCCTGGGATCTTCCTGGTTAAAAAAACCGGTCCAGGACTGGCACACTCATGTTTATCCTACAGTACAGGGGTCTGTTCTGTTAAAAGAAAAGTAGAGAACAATAAAACAATTTAAAAAAAAACCTGTATAAATGCTTGAGATTTTTAGAAGAGAGCTAGGCATTATTAGGCATAAGTTGAAAAGGACAATACACATTAAACACATTGTAATGCTACTTTTACTATGAAATTTATGCACAGAACCAAGCATTATGATCAAATACAAACTTCTAAAATGTCATTCCATTAATTATTTTAGATGAATATAGGTTAAATTAACTATATGCATGTTAGTCTACTCTATACTAATGTGTATATTCAGCCACATGTCTTTCTGTTGCTTAAAATATAAATGAAACTAGCACTAAAGTTAACATGTAATGCCTGAAAGCTGGTTCACTAAACAAAAAATAATTTTACCTGGATATGGCTGCTTCTCAGCCTTAAATACAAAGGCCGGTGACGTTTACTAAGCAGTCGCAGCTCCTCAAAAATAAAAGGGAATACTGCTGTGGATCCATTTTCACCTCTGACTAGCTTGTTAGCTTGTTAGCCTGTTTGACGCCGTCACGGTAGCTAAGCAACTGGACCTGGGGGCGGGAATAAAAACGAGGCTAGTACTGTCCGAATTCAGAGCCGCTGACTTCCGGTTTTTGCGGTCTTGCAAGGACCAGGCCTTGCTAGACCGGCGAGGACCCGTAATCACAAGCATCCTACCCGTGGATTCGGACACAGCCTCTGTTGTAGCCTGGGCAACAATATTCAAGGGCTCCATCATCACGACCCGAGGATCACCATAATGTGGTCACATACAGAATATTTTACTGTAATATGCAGTAAACATACTCAATACTTGAATGCCTGACAACATGTATCCCGCCCAGAGTAACCTTTGACCCACCTCGTGTGGACTGACCAATGAGGAGAGGGTCTTAACTTTAGGCCTTCTCTTCATTGGTCAGTCTGCATGAGACTGACTCTCAACTGACGTTCAGTCGTAGGCAGCGAAGCGTCTCTGTGCAGCGCAAAAGCCCGGGTGGACAGTTTGTTTAATGTAGGGTGACCATATTTCCATTTCCAAACAAGAGGACAGGGGATCTGTGCCTATGACGTCACACTATGGCAACGCCACACAAACCATGTTGGGACCCATTTTTTGTAAGAACTAAATTAATATCAGATTCTGCCAATAAAAGGGCTCTAAAACAATTCATATGTAAATATTTTGCATATTTAATGCAAAATCTCATTTTTCTGCTTTAGTGCTGCAACAAGGTTTTATTAATAATACATTATTATACCTTTTGTTTTACTACAGCATTGGTAACCTTCCTGTGCACAGATTTTTAAGGATGCTTGTTTCAGCTGTGAGATTAGACTATAGGATCAATGAAAAAATAAGTTGTCACACACTCCATGGAAACTTTCAGAGAATCCACAAATAGTGGCTTTCAAATAGTTTTGTTACTTTTTACAAGTTTAGAATAGAAGCAGATGAGACAGCATGTCTGATAATTTAGTTTTTCATCTGATAATAGTAGAACATGTCAGTAATGTCTGAGGGGCTTTTATAAACACTGTATAACTAACACTCCTGGAGAGGGTATGAATTACACAGAGGCTTCTGGGGAGCCCAGTTATTGGGGGTGGGGGGGGGGTGGGGGGTGGGGGCATTTTGCCTTGGCCCCCAAAATGTCTTGAAACGGCCCTGGGTGTGTGACTGAGTTTTGAAGGTGATCTGAATTGTATCAGATGTATAAATATGACGTGTATAACTTATTCTTTTTTACTGGTAAAAACGTGTAGTGGAGATAAATCTACCTACATTTTACTTTTCAACACTTTGTTTTGTTTTCTTGTTTTTATTTAACTATTTTCCTGTCCTGTCTGTCTCTCATCTTCCTGCATCTCCTCTTAATTCTCCAGAAAATCTGTTGCCTGGATTCTTACCTTTTCACCTCATCAGTTACTTTTGAGCAGATCAAAGGGATCTCCTGACCGCAAAGCGCAGAGCGCGTTTTCGATGCTGCGTGAGGTGACATCACCACAGCACAGGTGATGAGCTCCGCAGTAACAGAGCGCTTCAGGCACAAATAAGACAGAAAATAGAGAACATGTGCAGACATGAACGATCGTGTGCTAATTATAGTTTTTTGGTTGCGCCACTTTGAGAATGGACCGTGCGCTGGAAGCAGCTGCCTGGATCGCTGCGCAACAATGCGCTGTGCTGCTCTCTGCTCAAAAGAGTCCAAAAATGATATAATATAGAAAACTTTTTTCCGGCTCCCCGGATGTGTAGGATATACAGCTCCCCCATAATTCGATCCCTGCTCCTGGATGAAAAGCCGGACATTTTCATCAATACAAGAACCCGCAGTCCAGACGCCCGGACAGAGAGTGAAAAGTGGATAAGTCCGGGGAAAACGGAACGTATGGTCACCATAGTCCTCATAAAGCGGGAAATTATAGATACAGTATTGTGCTCGTGCCCTGGGCCCTTTAGAGTTCGTGGGCCCTGGGCAATTGCCCAGTTAATCCGGCCTTGGGCGGAACCGGTTCGCAGCAGCGCGAACCTTGCGCTGATCTGCCGGCTCTCCCTTGCGCTGATCTGATTTGCTCTGCGCGCAACGGCGGGGGGGGGGGGGGGGGGGGGGGGGGGGGGGGGCTTTTGGGAGAGTTGTGCGACACAACGAATCGATGACGTAATTCGTTGCCAACGCTTTTAGTAATCGATTTTCATCGAATTTATCGATTCGTTGTTGCAGCCCTACTTTACACACTCTCGTATTTAGCAACAAAACACCACTGGTGTGAGAGATTCTCCGCTCAACAATATCAGAGAAGGACAAACAGACGGATGCTACCACTTCAGCTTTCGGACAAAACGAAAAACACTGAAGTCGCGGACAACAAATGACAGCTGGACGTAGAAAATGGTGACTGGTGTTTAGCGCACTCTCGTTTCCATCGGCATTGCTGGTCTCCAGTTTCGGCAGAAGCTTCTCAGGGAAGATACTCGAGGGGAAGGTTGAGTATCTGGATGCACGTTTTCCAAAATTTCTTTAACCGGTTATTAACGCCTCTTAACAGTTAACCGGAAACCAACCAACCTCTTACGCCCTCTAGTGGCACAAATAGCGATGCACCGATATGAAATTTTTGGGCCAATACCGATATCTGATGTTAATATCACTATTATGGCCGATAACCGATATTTGCCGATGCCGGTATACTGACATTAATGCTTCTAAAATCAGCAGGTTTGATATAGAAATAAAATGATTAAAGCTGAATTTACGTTATTAAAGAGCAAGTAACGTCTAAATTAACTTTTTTTTTGCTGGTGAACTGTATAAATGAGTGTCTAATAGTGTTTTAAATGAGTGTATTCATTATTTTAGCATTTTGGTGCATTTTCTTTAAAAATTAAAAATTCTGCATAAATACCACAGTATAGCGCCACCTTCAGCTTAAAACATAGAATTTGAGTCATTTTGAATAAATTTTAGCCAATGGCTAAAGAGTAAGATACTACATAAATCAGTAGAGTACTACGTAGCAGCTCTGTGTCAAAGTTATAAAAGCATCGAGAGTCTCGGCTACGTCTTGTGGCGAGTTGGGAGTTGGATTTGCAAGCCAGTGTAGGACGGTCAGCGGTAGTTCAGCATTAGCATATCCTAGTCTTTAGCATAGCTTTTAGTGTTATACACACTTATAGTGTTAGCTTGGCTGGTGGATATTGTAGTTTAGTTAGTGTTTGGCTGTTAGTGTTATTAGGAAAGTAATTCGGTTTTAGTGCTCCATATCGTGTTAGTATGGTGAGAAGGTGTAGTGTAGTGGGTTCGGTAGCTCTGTGGGGTTGCACTCCTTTCCGCTGGACTTAGAAATTAGGCGCCAGTGGTTGCGCGCTACCGGTGTCTGGAAAAGTCAGCTCCCGCCTGGTGCTGTAGTTTGCAACCAGCATTTTACCCGCGATTCCTTAGCCAACATGATGGAGTTTGAACTGGGTTGTTCTGCACGTCTCCATTTGAAGAGGGAGGCCGTGCCCACCGTGGCTCTTCCACGATTTAGATGCAGCCCACCGACTCTGCTCCCGCACCATGGCGGGCTCCAGTCTGAGGTGAGTAAGCTAAATAAAAGGTTTAACATCTTCTAAAGACAATTCCCTACCTAAATGCAAAGTTTCAGAGATGTGGTTCACTTCCTTTAGCTAATATCAGCCTGCACTGCCTTCAGGCTGATTTGTCAAGTTCACAAAATGTGGAACGGGATGTAAGGTTGGAATCAGCGGCGAATCGGAACATATCTCGAAGCCCTGGCCGACAAAATGGTCCACATGACTATTACTGTCAGGCTCGGAGAAAATTCGGGTTGTTTTTGTGTCAGTCGATAATTCTGCTAACAGTGACTCTAACTAACGCAGCACTGGCTGACAGACAGCATTACAGCGTGAAATCCAGCTTGTGACCCGGTTCTGTAAGGAATTCTGTTCAGGAGGTCGCATTTCAGGCTCTCCACATCATATGTGACTGACTTTTACGTTATAATAACGATCACACACTAGGAATGTTATAAAGCGCCTATATAGGACAGTTTCTTTTGTATATTATCTGACTTTATAAACTCCAACAACAATGTGCTTCTATTTTTTTTTCAGGCTAAATCTACCCAAGACACTGGTTGTTAGACTGATTTAGTAGTCTGCAAGAATGCACTTGTCCAGGCTGACGTGAAGCCTTACCCGTAGCAAAGGTGAATTATTTTTAATAATCTTCTATGTAAACATTTTATTATTACCTTCTAGTTTTAATTTGTTTTACAGATTATTGTTACACGTGATTTTATGCTATTTTAAACATTTAAATGTGCTGCTTCTTTGTTTTTACATAGCCAGCCAGAATGGAGTTCACAGCCGCAGTGTGTCTTGTGACACAGAGACCATGACGGAAATTCATCTTCCAGAAAGTCCCAGAGCAGCGTCCACACCCCTGAAAAGACCAAGATGTGAGGTGTCTGCTGTTGATTCCAGCTTCCACCTCAGTGACAGTGCAAGCTCAGTGAACTGTTCAAGGTAAAATAATTAAAACATTTCAGAATTTTTAAGATATTAACAATTAAATATGTATGTGATTACATCATGACATCATGAAGGAGGCTACTGATTCTGGCCCTGTGACACTTGTTGGTGACGTGTGAGCTGATTCACCTGGTAAATAACTTTTACATTAAATATTTTGTTTTTGCTATCAAAAGTAAATTAACTAATAACCTGCATTATTGCAGGACACTCAGCAAAATATGGACTCTACACCATGAGGCAGGCACATGTTAATACTGTATAAGAGCACATAAGGTGAGCAACACCACATATTATTATTGTTATTACTGTACACCGTCCTGGATTTGTTTTCTTTCTGCATCTCATCATTAGCCTGGCTGATCACCTGATAACTCCTGTCATCTGGTTATGACAGCATGAGGATGTCCTCACACACTTGTAACCTATCAGCTCATCTGGCAGAATAGAGAGAGAAGAGACAACACCACATCTCCTGTTCCTGGAAAGCCTTCAGCCATCCTTCGATGACTGAGAACCTCCATCAGCTCTGTCTCCTGTCTGCCTACAATTATTATAATAAATTTTGTGTTTGACAAGATTTTGTGCTGTCAAATATCTCATTTTGATTCCAGTTTTTATATTTTAATGGATATTTATAAATTACATTAATTGAATTATCACATTGTTGCATGTTTAACTAGCTCTATTGTGATGAATTAAACTAGCACCTCACTGTTAAAAGCTCTTTTTAATTTCAAGCATGTTTAAGTATTTATGGACATGAACAAATACAGGAAATACATAAATTGAGATTTATTTAATTAATATAACAAATAAGGGGGAAAGAGTCATTGAAAGGCACATTCTTCTGGAAGCTCCTGATCCTGACGACACCAGCAGGAGACCACCTGCAGACACCAGAGGATCACCTACAACCAAGAAAGCAGCTAGTATCAGTAAATAAATAATGAAATCAGGGCAGTTTTAGTGGGCTGAACACATTACAGAATAATTTTCTCATGGGGTAGTTTCATAACTTTCTATGCAGCAGACTGTAACTTGAGCCCAGGGCTCCTGGAGAGCTGCTATCAAGCACGTTTCAGTAGTTTTCCTGCTTTAACAGGTTAGATTAGCTGTTAAGCAGCTCAGCTATTTGTTGCTGATTAAAACCAGGTGTGTTGAAGCAGATAAACCTCTAAAACATGCTGAATACTAGCTCTCTAGGGCCGTGGAGCCAAACCCTGCAGCTAATCCAATGCTATGGCTAATGGCTACTTACCATTCAGAGCTGGTTCTGTTGGGTCGGTTCCGGTAGTTTCAGGCTACTCACAAGCTCAAAACAATAAGGCTCAGGTCCGCTTATCTCCTCCAAATAGACTTGGTCCCTTTCTTCTCGAGTGTCTGTGTAAGGAGGGGGAGAAACATCCTCCACTTCTAATGACTGCTCAGAGTGAAGGGAGCTAGCATCGTCTCATTACCCATCGTCTTCGTCACTGCCGTGGCTCCGCCCCCTCGGTCCTCCAGGCAACGCCTACTAATGTTGCAGTTTTTAAAATTGATACGTGGGTGGAGAAGGACTCTGAGGCACACTTGACCCGCTCTTTAAGTACACATACCACACACATTTACACTTCTGAGATGATTACAATCACTGTCGCATGACTAAACAAATACACATCACCCCCGTCACCCTCTGAAACATAAACAAATGGAAACGAGATGGAACAAATATCGGCCCAGTTTTATTTATTGGACAGATACCGATATTGACGCCAATATATCGTACATCCCTATGCACAAAATATATCACACCCCAGCACAGTAGAAGGACTAGAAGCAGTTAACCTGAAAAAACTGTTTAACCTGGTCACAGCATTAACGACAATTAACTGGTTAACTGGTAATCTGTGTAAATCCTTAGTGTACTGTGATTGTGTTTCTGTTCAAAACCTAGCTTGTTTTGTAGATTCGCTATAACAGCTTTAATCGAAAACTGACAGAAGTTCCACGTACACAACATTTAAAACTGGTTTGAGTTTTTAAACCTTTATTTGAAACAAAAAGTTTTGCATCAGCTGCAAACAGTATTAACAAGATGTTGGATAGTGGCAGCTACACTGTAGCTTGGAAATGTTAATGTACCTAATATTATTCTTTGAAGAACACCATATTATTGTCTGATGACCATAAAAACATAGAATTTTCTATAAAAGATTTCTGCTAACTTTCTCCTGAAAATCAGGCCATGTAATATTTGTATAATGATGAAAACTAAACAAGAGGACTGCTTTAAATCCTTTTAAAAGAAACAAAATAATCACATTGCAATAAGTGAGCTTCAGCAGTGTCAAAGAGGAGAATTTTTACTAAATCTGTACTGATAAAATCATAAATACACACTAGCCTTACCAAAACCTGGAAAGTTATATTGGGCTGCATGGTGGAGCAGTGGTTAGCACTGTTGCCTCACAGCACAAAGGTTGCAGGTTTGAAACTCGGCTGCGGCCTTTCTGTGTGGAGTTGCATGTTCTCCCCATGCATGCGTGGGTTTCCTCCGGGTACTCCGGTTTCCCCCACAGTAGGGCTGGGCGATATGGCAAAAATAGAATATCACGATTTTTCCAATATTTTATCACGATTTCGATTTTATCACGATTTTTTATCCATGAATAGCATAACTTCAATTGCGTATTAAAGAAGAGAAACATTGAATAAATAAACATTTATTCATATTAGGGATAATCAGCACAGTGCTAACACACTTATATTTTAAACTCACACCAGAGATGATAAAAGCCCTGAGAGAAACAATTACAAAAATCAGTTTTTCTCGTTTTTCACGTAACTTAACATAAATTAAAATCGTAAACATATTTAAAGTGCAAACATGTCAATTGCAAACGTATTGTGCAAACATTAACTTGTTCAAAATACTATGTAGCTCCCAGTTGCTCATGTAGTGGATAGTTAAGCTCAAATACGTCTCTGATGTGCGGCTGGACCAGAGATCGCTTGTGGTAGCAAAAAACTGCGCATTCTGAATATTTTCTGCAACAAGTCTCTAAATAAAGTAAAAATTTCCAGTGCAGAGTGGAGACAACCCATAGAAGCACTGATTTGATCTCATTTCAGAGAAAAATAGAACAGGTCAGATGCACCTAATAAATAAAATTACTAACATAAACTCAGGAATGTGTTTCTTTGCTTCACTGTTCTGGTGCTGAAAATATCACTAATGCGGATCAAAGGAGATACACAGATGAATGCACCTCTTATTATTTGGAAACTACATTTACTGCAGCTGGCAGAGGTTGTTTCTATTGATACACGGAGTTTACAGAATCATTTTAAATGTTAATAGGGGAAGACTGCAGGAGGGAGCGGTAAAATACAGCAAAAACAAGAAACTAAGAGTCTGATGAAACCCGCTGGTTTTCCATCAGGCAGTCACGGGGCAGCTCCAACGACCCAGTGACCGAGCTCAGTCCGGTACCGACACCGGCTCGGCAGAGGGTGAACGAGCCGAGGCGACGTCGTGCTCTGCTTAAGAAGAAGAGTTATTTTCCTGCTTCAGAAGAAGCGTCCAACGTGTTTTTACGCTTTCTCCGAGACATGTCACGTCGCTAAGTTGTTAGCACTGCGCGCTAAGGAAACCCTGCGTTCCTCTTCGGAACGAAAACCTCGTTGTCGCTCAGCCGCGGCGAAGCCATGTTTGTTCACACACAGGTGAAAACAAGCGGGGCACTAATATATTACTATGACTCATTCTGATTGGTTAAGGGTCAAACAAAGGCGCGTCATTCGCCTGGGGTAAGCTCCATTTTCATTCAGAGGCAGAAATTCAACAGCAGAGCTGTGAATCGTGATAAAGCGGTCTCTCAAAAATGACAGACCGTCAGATGTGTAGATCGTAAAACGGTCTAAAATCGTCATATCGCCCAGCCCTACCCCACAGATCACAACATGCCCTATGGGTTATAAATTGTAAGTCGCTTTGGATAAAAGTGTCTGCTAAATAAATAAACAAACATGGAAATACGTTAATCACTCATAAATTGAATTGAACCGCCTGATTTGAAATAACTGAATAAGCTTTACGATTTTCAGGTTGGAAGGTGTAACACCAGTCCCTACAAATGATTAAAAACACGATCGTTAGCAAAGCTCAGAATTTAATACATTCGGTTATTTTTTGGGTTGTTTGCAGACAGACCAAGGAGTAAATTCTATCTGTTCCCTTTATATTATTGTAAAAACAATTTTTGTTTATTTTTGCATAACTTATAAATGGTAACATAAATGGCATAAAACACATTTTTACTTTGGTTTGTTTTTTTTAAGTATTTCTAAGAATGTTATTTTATTATATTTAATTTTTATTCAGTCCAGGTGGATACAGATTATTTTTGTTGCCTTATTCACACAATAAATATTTTTTTTTGAGTAAATATCAATGGAGTTTTATTTATTTATTTTAACTGGACACCTTCTCTAAAACTGGAGTATGCTACACGACGCTACATGCTAACTGTGTAATTGTTGTTCTAACAGGAACCATTTACCTCCAACGACAACGGGAGGTCTGATTCGACATCCTGGTCCGACGCTGATTCAAGCTCAGAGAAGAACGTCTGTCAGACAGAAAACCGACCCTGAAGCTCTGAAAAAGATCTCAGAGCTGGAGAGTGAGCTGCTGAAACTACGAGCTCAGATAGCACAGATTGTTATGGCTCCTTCATCAGGTGGATCAGTTAAAATTCTCTAAATGAGCTGGTCTACTGAGCAGGAAATCATAAAATGATTTTAATATGTTTCAGGTCTAACTGAGTCCCAGAATGTCCCAGGTTCACCTTTGATGTCCCATCCTCCTATACCAGCTCTCACCTCCACACCTCGCTGTGCTCCCCCACCTCCTCCACCACCACCTCCTCCTCCTCCTCCCTGTTCTGGCTCCTCATCGTCATCCGTGTTCGAGCTTATCAAACAGCGCCAGAATAACAGAACCAACTCAGAGCTCAGCAGAGAGTTGAAATCTAAACAGATTCCTTCCATGTTGGAAGTTCTGAAGGACTTGAATCAAGTGAAGTTACGCTCTGTGGAAAAGTGAGGTTTCTGCTGTAATACACTTAGTTTTGTGCTTTTATTTTTCAGTTTAAAGCCTTTATTCCTTTTTTTTGTCATCATTAGATCACCAGGAGGCACGGTTGTCAGGAGGAGACACAGTAAAGGTGCTTCTGCGTTGCTTAGCGACCCGGCAGCTCTCATCGCTGAAGCTCTAAAGAGAAAGTTCGCCCAGAATCATCGACATAACAACTCCTCCGACAAAGAGAACTCGCAAGAACTCTCTCCGTTTGGCAGTCCAGAAACACCTAAAGTACGTCTTCCACAGACACACGTCTCACGCGTCCATCATCTAGCCGCAGACACTTTAACCTGATTCTTCTGTTGCAGGTTTCGCTCCACAGCAGACGCAGTCTGGGCCGTTGCCATTTTTGATCTGGCGACACGGCCAACCAGCAGGTCCAGCTGACGTCTTCAGCAGCTTATGGTTTACAAATGTGTTCATTTTTGCGTTTTTATTTTCGATTATTGTTTGTCTGTTTGGTCAAATTCTTTGTTTTGAATCTGTTGGGTTTGTGAGTTTATAAGTGAACTGGTTTCATGTTTTTGTTTTTGATGTGACGTGTTTGCTCAGAATGGGATTATATGTAGGCAGGTGTGCTGTAGGTTTACCTACCTGCTCAGGGTTTCCCTTACATAGGCATAGCCGTGGCGGCCCGCCACGGCTGAAATCCCACCACCACGCCTACAACATCCCAAGTTTTATTGATTTTTTTTTTTGCGCCGTTTCCCTAAGAAGCAGCGGGAACTACTGTGTTGTTGCTTGTGATCACAGCCGGCAGGTAGCAAGGAGGAGGAGGCAGGGCAGGGTGGTTACAGCTATGAGCGTACGGATAAAGCATTTTTGACGAATACAAACAAGAAACGAGTGTAAAACTCGTCAATATCTGTAATCGTGCTGAATGAAATCCTCATTGGGTAACTGACTGTCTTCACGCTCTGTGATTGGCCAGTCAGATAGAGCGCCCGCCCCTCCCTACACACAAAACTGCAGCCGGGAGCTCCGTCAGCTCGGCCCAGGCATCAACGCGCACACACACAGAGACAAGCCGGGCGTGCACTGTGCGACTTTTTCACTTTTTTGAGCCGATTTTCCACTCGTGCGAGAATCCACAAGATCGGGGCGAGTTTTGCGCTGAGCCTCGTGTAGTGTACAGGGGGTTACGAGAGGCGATTAACACCACGTGACCAGCTACCGATCAGCAATCGTGAGCTCGCACGGACTTCTGGAGTGTTTGGTATTTATCTCGTTCCTCATGAGGGTTGAAGCGGCGCAGAGAGCGGCTGCGACCCAAAAAGTATCAGAACCGCTCACGGCGCATTCGCAATCCTGCATCAACTCCGCTCACCCGCTACTTCCCTAATAACACACGTTGTTCGTTTTTGTTTCTACACGTTTTTTACTCACAAAGGTTGTCAAGAAAGCGTGTTTGTCGTGTTCATGTCAAATTAAACTGATCACAAAACACAGATTTACTTTATTTCATTTCCTCATCCAACCCCCATAAATCCCTGTGTGTCCTCCTGCAGCACTCCCAAAGGACAACAGGCAAAACAAGACAAAAAAGTCTGACGTAAAAACTGCTATTTTTAGCATATTTTAGGTCCAACGTGTTGCTACCAGACGTACAGTGAGCACATGACTCCTGAGTTCTACCCTGCGCTGAAGTCGTACAGTTTGAGCTGAAGCTGTGTTACGAGTGAAAAAGTCGCACAGTGTCCACCCAGCTTATTATAATGTTCACTGTAATGCATCTTGATGTTCTTAACAAATAAATTAAATAAAAAATATTGGTCAGTAATGCCAAATATGTAAATTTGTGTTTCAGTAATTTTTATACTGGCTTAAAAATACTTCATTAAGTCTACTAAACAGGGGTGTAGAACGTTTTTAATAGGGCCAGCCCAGTAATGATCTTCGACCAAAATAAAGGGGGCAGAGAGTCAAATAAAGGGGGCAAAAGGAGATGTTTTTCCAGACGCCAAGAAAAATTAAATGCCAAATCCACCCTGCAAAGTGTGTCACTGAGAGTTTAAAACAGAAATTATTCTTGTGCAAATATTGGTGAATTCACCTTTAATACTAGTTATTACAATGCAGCAGTCGCTGGATTGGTGCAGTTCAAAGTGGAGTGCATCAAATAAAACAATATTAACATAAAGGTGAGACATGTCATAATTTCCTTCCCCCCCCCCCCCCCCCCCCCCCCCCCCCCCCCCCCGCCAACACCACCTCCACCACAGCTGGAAAAATTCCTAGGGGAAACACTGCTGCTCTATTGGTTTTAGACTCCTTTTATGAGACTTTTAGTCTCATTTTGTGCTGATTGGGAGGAGTGAGCGTACGGTGTGAGAGCTGTGGCTCTATGCAACTTTAAAAATGTTTTTATTTCATATTAAAATGCACTATTTAAAAACTTCGTCTGTTCTGTTTATGTTCAGTAACTTGATTTTTTTACCCACATTTCTGTCTTGCAACACTGATATGTGATCATGCTGGTTTGGGATAGTGAACTGAAAACCTGTAAAATGTGCAGCAGTGGCTACAGCTGACGTTTATGATCCATTTTATTTTATATATAGTATAGGTAACATTTGGGTTTATTGTTGTAAATAGAATGCAAATTATTTTTAAAAGGTACAAGGTGATAGAATATACACTGATGATTTTCTAAAGCAGACCCACTTGCTTCTCCTGGGTTTCTCAGGATCAGCGTTAGTCTGGCTCCCTCTAGTGGTACTCTTAAAGCTACATTTTTCCTATTTTCATGAAAAATTCTTATTAACGGGAAAAATTGGCAAGCATGAGCTCCCTCTGTTTATACAATAAAGTATTTTAAATAAAGGTGTGTTCATTAAATTTGTACAGCTTTAACTTTAAATTGTTTTTCAAGCTAAATATACCAGCCTAGTGGTAGTGTCCACCCTGGAAGTGGGAGATCGTGGTTTGATTCCTGTTTGGGTCATACCAAAGACTTAGACAATCCGTCACTGCTTGACACTGCTTTAAGGGGTTGGATTGGGGGCTTAAACCACTAGGTGTTTCCCGAGCGCAGCCACTGCTGCAGCTCACAGCTACTCTCCATGTGGATGGGTCAAATGTGGAGATGAATTTCACTAGTGTGTAATGATGACTATAGGACTTCTATTTTTTACCCATCATTAAACAGTAGAGGATTGTAGATGCAAACTTAAGGCGTGAAACAAAAATGTTGATTAAAGTGAATATTAATGCAGTTATCTTTTTCTTTAGTAAAAGTTTTTTTTTTTTGCAATGACCTTGAACACATCACCCGACTTGAGTAATCAGTTTTTCTCAATTTAGCTAAGTGCTTGAGCCGTGTTTAACCCTTTAAAGGGCCAGCGTCTACATTTAGACACTTCCACTCACATAAATGATGTCAGTGTGCCTCACAAGCTCTTACAGTAACAGAATTTCACCCAGCCAATCATCAGCAATCAAGTCACAGTTGGCGCCATGGCCCGTTAGACCAATCAGGGCAGGTCTGTGATGTGCCAAATGTTGGTGTGTCTGTAGAACAGGAAAACTGCCTACTTGTAGTTCGGTCTCTTCTTGTGTTTACAGTCGGATCTCTAAAACTTACAGCGTTAGGTTTGTCAAACTCTCACATGGATTGGTTGATTAGTTGTGCCAAATAAGGATATAAGTATTGGAAATGGTAAACTCAATAAAGTTGGTGAACTTATGAGCCAACTGGAAGGAAAGAAGATTTAGTCTCCTATAGGAACTTTTTTGTTTATTTAATAAATTTTTTTGTTTATTTTTCACTTTTTGTATTTAATTAATTTTCCTTTTCAGGATTTCTGGTCAGCAGACTTAATTAAAATGAAAGTAACATATTCTATCTAATTTTAGTAAATTTTAGGAAGATCATAAATCATGAATGAATCCAAACTGCCTTTTGTAAAGTGTGGGGGGAGCATGTCCCTCACTAATTAAGCTCAATGGTATTTTCTACCAGATCTGTGGCCACAGGGGTGTCATGCCTGTCGTGGCGGAAACCGCTGGTGGACACTGGCGGTCAGGGATGGTGTCAAGCTGAAGAAAGAGTCCTATCAGGTCTTATTGGCCTGTGGGCCTCCAGAGGCAGCTGATAGGTACCGGCAGTCCAAGCGAAATATGGCTTGAGAGGTTATGAAGGCAAAAACTCGGGCATGAGAGGAGTTCGGTGAAACATGAAGCAAGGCTTCCGCATGGCTTCGAGGAGATTCTGGTCCACCATGGCGCCTCAGGAGGGAAAAGCAGTGCGTTGCCAACACTGTTTAAATTGAGAATGGTTTGCGGTTGACCTCGACTCGGGACATTGTGGACCGGTGGGCGGAGTACTTTGAAGACCTCTTCAATCCAACCGGCACGTCTTCCAGTGAGGAAGCAGAGTCCGGGGACTTTGGGTTGGACTCTCCAATCTCTGGTGCCAAGGTCACTGAGGTGGTCAAAAAGCAGAATGGGGTGGTGGCCTCCTATTTAAAAAGGGGAACCGCAGAGTGTGTTCCATCTACAGAGGGTCACACTCCTGAGCCTCCCTGGTAAGGTCTATTCAGGTTTTCTGTAGAGGAGGGTCTGTCGGATTGTCAAACCTCAGATTCAGGAGGAACAGTGTGGTTTTCGTCCTGGCCGTGGAACACTGGACCAGCTCTAGACCCTTAGGGAGGTCCTGGAGGGTGCGTGGGAGCTCACTCAACCAATCTACTTGTGGTTTGTGGAGAAAGTGTTAGACCGCGTCCCTCGAGGGGCCCTGTGGGGGGTACTTCAGGAGGATGGGGTACCAGGCCCTCTGATACGAGATGTTAGGTCCCTGTATGACCGGTGTCAGAGCTTGGTCCGCATCTGCCGGCAGTAAGTCGGGCTCGTTCCCAGTGAGAGTTGGACTCCGCCAAGGCTGCCCTTTGTCACCGATTCTGTTCATAACCTTTATGGACAGGATTTCTAGGCGCAGCCAAGGTGTGGAGGGCTTCCGTTTTGATGGCCTGAGGATCAGGTCTCTGCTTTTTGCAGATGATGTGATCCTGTTGGCTTCATCAGAACGTGATCTCCGGCTTTCGCTGGAGCGGTTCACAGCCGAGTGTGAAGCAGCTGGGACGAGAATCAGCTCCTCTAAATCCTAAACCATGGTTTTGATTCAGAAAAGTGTGGAATGCCTTCTCAAGGTCAGGGATGAGGTCCTGCCCCAAGTAGAGGATTTTAAGTATCTCAGGGTCATGTTCACAAGTGAGGGAATGCTGGAGCGTGAGATTGATGGGCCCCTCCACGTTGAAAGGAGCCAGTTGAGGTGGCTCCGGCATCTGGTCAGGATGCCTCCTGGATGCCTCCCTGGTGAGGTTATCTGGGCACGTCCAACCAGGAGGAGACCTAAAGGGGGAGACCCAGGACACGTGCTAGTACTGGATAAAAGTTTTTTTTCTCTCAATTTTAAAGTACGGTCATCAGGGGTTCCCAATCCAAGTTCCATGACCTCCCAAGGAGTTCCCCGCAAGATTGCAGGGGGTCCCCACAATTTCCTCTCTGCTGAGGCTGTGAGGTCACTAAGCCTATATGTATAAAGTTACATTTATAAATACCAATAACACACCTAATAGTATAATCATAACTCCGTATAAGAATTATAATTAAATTCAATTCAAGTGTATTTAAATAGCGTCAAATCATGACAAGAGTCGTCTCAAGGATCTTCACATAATAAACATTCCAATACAGGTCAGTTCATAAAGCCAGTCAGTAAAAAGTTTCCTATATAAGGAACCCAGCAGATTGCATCAAGTCACTGACAAGTGTTAGTGTCTTTACAGCAATCCTCATACCAAGCAAGCATTTAGCGACAGTGGAGAGGAAAACTCCCTTTTAACAGGAAGAATTCTTCTTCCGGCTCTTGGAGAGTACAGACACTTATTTTTCCTCCTCTCTTCCCTATCTTATTCCAAGGCTCTTTGTCTGTCTTTGGGTGTACGGCGCTTCTGCATTATTTCTGGAAACTGGAAAACTGAAATTACTAAAATGGACCTGGTCAGTTGGTCACTTAATGCGATTGACAAAATATTTTCAACCATGAGAAAGGGATAAGGGGCTCCTGGGTGCCCCTCTGGGACAGAGCCAGCTGGGTATATCATGGACTCCTGGAAACAGTGGAACCTGATCTGCCTCTCTCAGCTGTCTGTAGAGGATTCGGAAGACGTGTGGATATTCGTGGTGTTGGTGTCAGGTTTCCTGCTCTTTGGCCTAGGAGGCTTCCTGGCTTACCGGAAAATTAATGAGCTGTAGAGGAATATTGGCGCTCTCCCCGAGCCCAGGGATGGATTACACCGCGCTGTGAATTCACAGACTCACATAATTGGTGAGATGAATCGTAAGCTTGGAACTTTGGCTGAGATTCATGCATTGGCACAAAAGATGGATGCCATCAAGGAGAGAGTGGACGAATCAGCAAGGATTGGGATAGATTAATTTACGCCATTATTGGGATTTTTAGAGGTTGAGGACCAACGGAGCTTTAAGACAGGGAGGAAATTATCTCTGTCTGTCCCCAAAACAATTTCTAATCTGAATCTGGTGCTCTTGAGCCTGTAAGGCTGCAACGATTACTACCCCCTCAGAAGAAATGTGGAATACTGCCGTCGCTATGGCAACTCTGTCTCCTATTCTCAGCCTGGGCGGGACTGCGGGCTGTGAAGGCCGCCGAATCGTTCCAGGAGTCACTGTGCCCTCCGAACCCCAACAACCTCCCTCCCCTGTCCAGACTGAGGTGACGTGCACTGCTTATCGTGGCTGCAGGAACTGACATGTGGGGAGTCCCAAACCCACCACCCCACCTAGTGGACACTTATATATATGTGTGTGTATATACAGTATATATATATATATATATACTGTATATACTATATATATAGGGTTGGACTCCGCCAGGGCTGCCCGTTGATACCGGTTCTGTTCATTACCTTTATGGACAGAATTTCTAGGCGCAGCCGTGGTGTGGAGTGTGTCGAGTTTGGTGGCAGGAGAATCTCTTCTCTGCTTTTTGCGGATGATGTGGTCCTCCTAGCTTCATCCAGCTCTGACCTTCAGTTCTTGCTGGGTAGGTTCGCGGCCGAGTGTGAAGCGGCTGGGATGAGGATCAGCACCTCCAAATCTGAGACC